AAAAAGAGTTCTTCATGGGGGATCGAACCCGTAACCAGCAGCGTTATATCTTGACAGGTTATTGACTCAGCTACGATGCTCGTTTAATTTTAAATTAAATTTTCTATAGATATTTATCTATGATATTTCAAAATTTCTCTTTGAACTGTTCTCGGTCGTTTCATTTACCAACGAATTTCGCCATTCATTTTTTAATGTTCATTTTCGGCATGATAAGAGGTAAAGAGTGAAAACCAATATTTCTATGCATTTTTTATAACTTTGAAATTTATTTGGATATACACATTTGCTTGCGCATTACGTCCATACAAACGTTTAGGGTTCGGTTGGACGGAAGACCTTGCTGTTCCGCCTGTTTGTCAAGAACGGATTGTGAGGGGCGGCAACTTTTTCCCCACCACCGAGCAATCCATTCATTTTCGCTGACTGCAATATCGGCTGGAACGATGATCATGATCCGCGCGGCTACGCGAAATCTGTAACATCGACAGAGGCGATGATCACGAAATCCTACTCCCGGACTCGCCGCTACGATTTAGCGCCATGCTTTTGGTATCGCCTAAAACCGGAGCGTTGTACATCTCCCCACTCATCTCTGTGATTAGTACTTAATAACTCTTACTAATTATTTATTAGAAATTTTATCAAGATATTGACACTCAATGATATTTTAACAGACTTTTCAGCATTATTCCTTTTTATTCGTAACAGTGCGACAGGCTGACAGTTTAACAAAAACAAATCTCATTTTAACACACGCGCACACACACACACTTGCACACAAGATATTTTGATTTGCAAAAGGATTCATCTAGCCGGCTAGACGTTACAGGGAAAACGAGGATGTGACGGTTAATAGAAATAAAAATCATTCTCTATGGGATAAAAACCCGAAACAGATAGAAATTTTGTAATCCTAAAGTGTTCATAATTAGACCTTCACAATTAATCGCTTGTACAAAAGCAATTCGGGATAATCAGCAGTCTTTGGAATATCGGGAATGTGCAAAAGAGAAAAAAACAAGTACACTTTTATGTACATATTTTTCCCGTTTGTAAGGAAAACGATCAAAGTATAATGATATAGGAAAGACAAAGAGTGATTGTTGATTGGTATCTTTGTTCTGGAGCACAAAGTACTTAATTTTTTGTAAGACGTGCCACTGCGCTTTTAAAAAGTATATATATACATACATATATATATGTGTATATATATATATATATATATATATATATATATATATATATATATAGATTCTAAACAAATTCACACACTCAGTAGGCATTAAAATTCACACGTGTCCTTCGCGACTTAATCGTATACGGACTTAATAACGTATATCTTTTAGAAGATGTATCCATAAACTTATCTAACTGCCTCGCAAGAAGAACAAGAGGACAAAAATATAAAGAATAAGAGGAAAACAAAAACAACAAGTAAACTTGTTGCTTGCTGTATACTACAAATGTAAAACCGCATCAAGTAGTGTAGGAATGAAGTGAAACACACCAAGGCTCACGACTCTTTTGGGCCTCACGCCCAGATAATAAACAACACCATACATGGAATAAACAACGAATATAGACTATATGTATAATATATGTATATACGATATATATGTTTATATTTACAACGTGTTAGTTAATTTGTTGTACAATATTTTTAGGGGGGCCTTCATTTAAATATTTGCTTTTTCAACGCCATTCGAGTAACACTTTCATCTGTATATTAACACTAGCTTATTATACATATATAATTTTTGACATTTTTCATAAGTACACCGGATCTGCGAGATCCAGGGGTGTCTTTCTGTCCATAACTTTGTTAAGAATGATTTGAAAATAACTTTGACTTATCCTGCCAATAACACTAACATAAATTGCCCTTTTCTTTGTACAACAAATTTTCTTAACACACTGTATATGTAAATATATGTATCCGGATGAGCTTCGGTCGCACAATATATACTACTATATGTATAATGGGAATAACAAAAACAACATAACGCGCAATATTAGGTAACACGATTACCCTCATTAGGACTAAAGTTTAGTCTCGTGTTAAAATTCTAATGTGCAACGGAAATTCCTTTGTAACCGACATATCTTAAACTTCCGCTCGTGGCTCCTCTCACTAGCCAAAATATTTTCCTCTTCACGTCGCAACGAGCGCACAACGATTTTCCAAAAGGACTAATGAGTTATTCAAAGGAAATCCTCATCGACGCGTTTTGGATATTGCACAATTCTTTGGAGCTGACTAACACAATATAAGACAAAGAGAAAAGAGAAGCAAGAAAAATTGCAAAGGTGTAACCCCGTCGCTCAGTGAACCTATGCAATTTTTCTTGGTACATTTCAAATACGATTCCTGTACATTATACATGTTTCTTTGCTTCTTGCGTGTAATTATTAATCTATCTATTTGCTTGTTCGGCGATCCGTAGCATAAAGCCGCGATTTCATTTAACGTCAGGATGCAGCTTCCTTAATAGGAATAAAATTCATTTAAAAATATGCACGCAACGCGCACGTGCATTTTCGCGCAACGCATTCACATCTGAGACACAGATTGACGATGTCTCGCGACGAGCCAATCAAAGATGAAGGAAAAAAAGAAAAAGATAAAAAGTGTAAAACAAGCAAGAAAGACTCGTTGAAAAAAGAAAACGATCAAAAGAGTGCATTGAATATAAATTGGATGAAGTAAATACAAAAAACAAAAAATAAAAACAATAATTAAACATCCTTAACGACAAAGGACAGACAAAACAATTTGCTTCGAAGATGGAAAAACTCAAATGATCTTTTTCTTTTTTCCTTTCTTCTGTGCTCTCTTCGGAAATATTTGGCGCAAGCAATATTCTGATGTACATATATTCATCTCTCTCCCTCTCGCTCTTTCTCACTGTGTATATATATATAAATATATACGATTTGTATACAGGTATATGTATACACTTGGCAATCGCTCAGTTTCATATATACATGTAGATGTACATAAACATTTTTCAATTTTAGGCACATAGAACACACAACGATTTTACTGCAGCATACGTATCACGTACACAACAATTAGGAGAGAATACAGGATTTTATATTCGTCATTGCGCTTCATTAGTGTTTAATAATATGCGAGTAACAATCGTACAAGTAAACCTTGATGGTCCCCAATTCTTAATTTCACATCTATTTAATGTGAACCAATACTTTTTAAATATCCTCTCCTGATTGAGATACGTGTTCCTGTATACCCATTATGTAAATATAATTATACTATGTAATAACTCCGTGTGGGTTATATAGAGAATTCGCCATGTATATATATATATGTATATACATATATATATATATATAACACGATACAACGAATACTGTTTAGGTGTATCTTAAGGCACTCGTGCGAGTTGAAAACGCAAATTTCAGACAATGCATCGTTGGGATAGAAAGAGCGTGATAAAAAGATAAGCGATTAAGTATACAGATAAAGAAGGAAACGAATAGAACAAAATACGAGAGTCTAACGTGAGAGACTCTTTGATATTATTGGATTAAGGGAATTCCAGACCTAGTATTATCGTATTATTAAGGTCTAGAGTAAAATCGTAATTAGTACGATTTTGACAGATTATATAAGTTGAGTGAAGTCAAAATTATGCTCTGTCAAAATTATGCTATTTGCTGGTTTAGTTTACAACTTATTTGCATGGTAATATCAGGCCTGCAGTCTCCTTAAAGACTTGCTGCATATACAGTCAAGTCAGGCAAGCATACAAGTGAACAAAGTATTTGATTTAACTATTGGAGGTATTTTTTATATTTATAGGACTGAATTTATACAGAAAAATGTATTCTTAGCGTAGAGTAACGCTAATTGTATCTTGAATATTGTCGTATTAAACAAGATGTTCACTTTCCAGCTTGTCTGACTTAATTGTGAAATACAGCCTTAAGACTCTCATTGACTCTACAATGCTATGTTATTTTATTCTATTAATTTTGATCAAAGCTGACGAAGAGCCTCAAGTGAACCCAGTCCATTTATAAAAACCCTGTATACTCGTAGTACATGATTAAAAAGAAAGAAAAACTATAATGCAGTAAAACATGCTACACTCGTGTGCCGAGAATTTTAGAAGTTTCGCACCCTTTATAGAACTCACAAGTTGACAACAATGTCAGGCTAAATTTAAAAAATCATTGATTGATCGACAGACTCAACGTCTGCACTAATTGTAATTTACAATTCGTGGACTAATAATAAATACAAACCGAAAAATCTGTATGTAGGAGGTAATGAGTTCTGTGGTGAGCTAACTCAGTGTTACAGTTAGCCAAAAACTCCCTACTTCGTAAGCCAAATTTTCAGGCCTTAATTTAGTAATGTGAATCAAGAAACATACATTTACGTTAGTTACTCTTGATTGGAATTCTGTGTTTACTTTTTAAAACTGGAAATGCCTCAGAATGGCTCTTCGCCGCGCTTCCTGACTATCTTTGCTAAATTCTTTATTAACTAAATTAGAATGAGATCACGAATTGCGACATAGACAACTGTCCTGTAAAGAAACCAATCACACTTACGTTATTCACGGTATAACGTGTATATTATTGGTGTATTTCCATTGAAAACAAATTGTTAACTCAATAAGGAAAAAAAAGATATGTCTCTTTTCATCTCCGAATCATGTAGTGTAGTAGCAACTAGTCGTACCTGACATACGTGTAAGCGTCTTACGATAGACGCCACTCAAAATATATATGTAGTAATATAATATTTATAATAACATTTGTTTCATATTATTTATCCGCGTGTATACGTATGTATATGTACATATATATTCTATCTGGAAATTAGAGTAATAAATGTAAGTATGAATATAATATATATATATTATATATTATGTATAAGTCTCTTTAAGATATAAATAAGAATTCTTAATGAGCCATGTCAAATAGACCAACGTGCTCTTAACGTCATTTGTACAAACGAGGATGGACGAGCATCCTCTCCAGAAAGCAAATATAAATCTAGAGTGTACATATACATAATTCGAACCCACATCTCGTTAATATCTTTGGCTAGTTAACTAAGTGCGACTTTAATTCACTTTCTTTGTTAGACTCACTTACGGTACGACTTAATCGTGGCGCGATATCCTTACGGCCTGCGAGGATTCGCGCAAGATTATATTTTGGTACCCATTAGTACACTCTACGAGCTTCACAGTTTCTTTAACTTTTCTTCTCTTCGTTTTGTTTCTTAACGTCTCGCAAACTTGTGTCGATTCTGTCTAAACCAGTAGCGACATCCTGGTGAGAAAAAAAAGAGAATTAATCCGTACTACTGCTAATCATTAAAAGTGTTTAGAATCAACTTTTATCTCACCTGTACAGCTATTTGAAGTGGCGTTGGCTCTCCTGGTAAACAATCCGTTCTTACTACATTTGCTGGTTGTAGTCTGGAGCAAGGACTTCCGGTAAAGAGCATAAAGAGGGCATGTACTGTTCTGCGTTGAATCAATTCTGTGTGTCTGTGCTGATAACCTGTCAGATGTCTTCGGTGTCGGGCAGCAGTAGGGAACCATCTCTCACAAAGGGTACAGTACCTGCGATGCCTTATTGTAGCCTATTCAAAGAAAAATGAATATTTATTATAGGGTATTTTCTATCTTTCAATTTATTCATATTTACCTTCTCATGGTAAGCCAATTCGTTGACGATATCAGCAACTGTAATGACTGACGCGCGTTGAATTAACAAAGAATCTTCATTAGACTGTTTATTATCCTTTTCTTCAAAGTTCTCCGGATTTTCTGGACGAATTATAACTTCCTGGTTGGTGATGACAGGTGGGGAACGAGAATCACTTCTGTTTGAGTTCGTCTCAAAGTTCATATCCATTTCGGGTTCCAACACTGGCATTTTGGAATCCTTAGGAATATTCTCTACAACGTTATCTACAGATGGGTCCTGGGTTTTTGATATCTTTGGGATTTTATAGGACTTTATGTTGTTAACACCTTGCTGGTTCCATTTGACGCCATTTTTGAGAGCGTTCGGTTTTATTGTCTGTGATGAATCGATGGTCTCCCTCACAGTTTCCAGAGAATCAAATTTCTCCAGGGTCTCCTTAGATTTGTGGGTCTCAGGAATTTCCTTAGTTGACCTAGAATCCCTGCATACAAACTGCGTAAGTAGTTTAGTGCTTTTTAAGGATATCGTACTAGAATCCTGAATCGGAACTATGGGTACCCTGGAATTGACATTAACGTTACTCGAATAGGAAAATTCCTGTTGTGACTGTAATTCCACTTGGACAGGCTCCTTTTTATCAACCTCTAGATTGGATGGAGGTCTTGAATTCAATTTTTTAACAGCAGAATGACTTTGCACCTGCTTGGAATGTTTCTTCTCATTTTTATCGGAGTTAGTTTTTGCTTCAGTCTTGACTCGACTATTGTTAGTAGTTTGCACTACTTTTGTGTCACGGGATTCTAAAGATTTTGAATCATCCAGATATTTTGTACTACTCCTACCAGCCATTAGAATGCTCAGGTCAAAACAGGAGCCTTGTTTTTTCTCAGCTGCCGTTTTAGGTCTTGCCTTTAATTTTGATTTATTAGTTTCACTCTTAGACTTGGCCAGACATTTTCTTAATGCCTCTTTGGCAGCCAAGACTTCCTTCACCAATAAATCTGAACAGCAAAAGGACTTCTCTATTTTCGAACTTAATATCCTTGCATCTTCTTCTCCTCTTCTATTTCTTTTTGATACAGAATGTAATTTTGAACTTCTACTTTTTGAATGGACATTGAATGAACTTGAAGACGTTGGTTCTTCGTGACTTCTACGGGTAGAATATGGATCTTTCGGATCCTTGGTTGAACGTTCTGTCATTGATTTTAAATTACTTCCTGACTGTCTTCGTATCTTTGTCTGTTTTCCATTATTAAGGCACTCTGTAAAACGATGATCCGTTAAATCCTGACTATCTGGTATAGGAACATCCAAAGGGTCAGACACATTATTATCAGCTATTTCTAGTTCTAGTTCGAATTGAGTAGGGATTGCATCCTCTGAATAAAGCCTTTCATTTTCCTCATTCTCTAAAGAAGTATGGATTTCTACTTCACCAGGTGTAATGTCTGGCGATGCTGGTAGAATGTCTATGGTTGTTTGACTCTCATCTGATGATTCGACCTTAATTATAGAATTTAGATCACAGTTATTATACAGAAGAGAATTTGGTGTAATGTTTTCACTTAAAGTTTCATTGTTTTCTAGTAAATCTTCACTTTCAGTATCATCGTATTGAATTTCTTCTTCCTCTTTTATTTTTGTCTCTTCATCAACTAGGTTCATAGAATCTTGGCTGTCTTCTTTCTTCGTCATAATTGTTTCCAATTTTTTCAATGATTCTTCTGCTGATTTATCATCGATTTTTGTATCTTTATTTTTTGTATTCAGGACGAAAGATCCTTTTAAATCCTTAATGAAGTTACTAAAATTACACACTACAGGAAGTTCACTTTTACTACTCATTGATTCGTCCAATTTTTGACCTATTTGATCTTTCTCATTCATTTGCTGAAACTTCAATTCTTTACAGTGGTGTAACAATGTGGATTTATTATCCCCACTAGTTTTTTCTTTATAGGATAATGATACTTCAAGATTTGATGAACTTGAGACAGATTTACAATCTTCAGTGTTATCAGAACTCTTATGGACATTGAAGTTTTCTCCTTTGATATTGTGCTGCGATAATTTACTATGACTGAAGTTTCTGATTCCTTTATCCAGAATGTTTAATTTTGTGAAGTCGCAATCTGACATTCTTCTTGATTTTATTTTATTAAGTGGAATCAAATCTGATGTAGAATTGGACCTGATAAGTTTACTGTGTTGATGAATCTGAGTGGAATGTCTTCTCCAGTGAATAGTTCTCTTGGGTCCTGGTTTAGTCCTTTGCGAAGAAGTTCTATTAGATTTTGGCATAGATAATTTTAAAGACACTTTTTTATGCCGCAATTCTTTAGCCATACAATCCAATACCCAGGAACGTTGAAGCTTTACCTTTGGCTGCCACCTTTTGTTCTTGATAATAGCATCTTTACGGTCTTTACTAAGTTCGCACTTAAACTCAGCACTTGGCGAAGCTCTTTTTATTATTACTTTGGGAATCTTTTCAGATACCAGTTTTAAAATCGAAGGCGAAATTTTATTCTCCACTGTAGATGAACACTCAGATGACTTTTTCTCAGCTTCGTCGACTTTAATGGACCGTTTTGATTCTTCCTTTGCATTCTTTTTTAATTTTTTAGATTGGACGTGTACTGGCGAATTTACACTTGAGTGTCTCTTTTTTTGCACTTCCGTGTTCGCGCTAATAGAATTCTCTGGATTTTTTCGGATCTTTAGTTTTGGAATTTTTTCCCTAGGCTGATCACCCTCTGCACCATGGGATCTCTTAATTTTCTCAGGATTCAAATTTACACTCATCACTGAAGGATTAACTTCACCTGCACTTGATTTAACTTCCAACGATTTTGATCTCTTTAGAACTGTAGTACTTGAGGAGGGTAGTTCCGTATCATCGACAATTTTTGGTACTGCACTACGCACTTTGGTGATCTTCATCTTAGGAACAATTTTACGATTATCCAGTTCCTCGTTGCTTGACTTCTCGATTAAAATTTTTGGCAACTTCTCTTCTACTTTAATTTTCATTATTGGAATTTTAATATCAAGTGAATTCACATCCTTTTTACTCTCACTTACATTTTTCTCAAAGTCCTCGTTTTTAATCTTTACTTTGAATGTCTTCTGCTCATCCTTCAATGTCTTCTGTGACGGAGGTTTTTGTTCTGGAGTTATTGCCTCTATAGTTGGTGTACTTGGACGTGATCTTGCATTCCTTATTATCATTTTTGGTATTTTTCTATAAGATGTAACTCTCGACGTAGTACTTTCCTTCTCTATGATGGTACTTGTATCCACAGAACTTGTTAATTTTGGATCTTGCTCAGAAGAAATTTTACTGAGTTTTCCGGTAGACTTTAGTCCTTCTGTCTTTTTTATTAGGAGTTTTGGTATCGTTTTAAGTGATTCTTCGGTATCCTGCACCGCTGATGAAAAAGTTGTGTAATTCTTTATTGAAGGCTCCGATGAGAATTGTGGAGCTCCATCTAATTTTTGACACCCTTCAGCAGTTTTCATAGATTCACTGAATTCAATTTTCTTGTTATTTTCGGTGTAACATCTTGTCTCCTGTTCCTCTTCAACTTGTACTTTTTGCAGTTCTGGCACATTTTCAACACTCGCACAATCTCCAGGTATCATGTTGTGGGACTTCTCATGTGATATATCTTTACTCTGAGACAGAGTTTCCTCAGTAGTTGACTTAGTATCACAAATAGGAACTTGTAACTTCGAAGGAACAAATGTTTCTTCTTCAACAACTGCTTTGTAGGTACAATCTTGCATTACAACTTCTGATTTCTCCTCAGTAAGTGATTGTATAGAGACTTTCAAGTTCTCAACACTATCTACAACAATTGTACTATCAGTCTTCTTAGAATCACTTTCTGAGTCAATAGCCGTTCCTTCTGATAAATCTTTACACGGTGAAACACATTTCACTAGATTTTTTACTGTCTCAAGAATCTTCTGAACTTTGTGATCTTCAGTGGATATTTCTTCTTTTGACGTGATTATCTTTTTTGAGTTCACTGGCTGTACACTTCCTTTGAATTCATTTACTTCAGGCACAACAGAGTCCATAATGAAGTTATTTTCGATTTCTGTAAAATTACTGGTGATACGTGTTGTACTTTCTAAATTTGATTGCACTTTTATTTTTTCAGAAACTTGTTTATCTTGGGTAATACAAGTTTTTTGTACTGATTCTTTGCTGATTTTAAAATTTTTTCCCTCATGTTTACAGTTTTTGACTTCATCTTCCTTACATACATCTATTACATCAGTAGGAATTTCCAATGTTTTCGCTTCAGAAATAGTATCTTTAATTCTTTCTGAAACGAAGTTAGACTCGTGTACAACTTCATCAACTTTTGGCAACTGTAAAATGTCTTTTTCTTGTAATCCTTCTAAAATGTCGGAACTTTTTGCATCGTGGTACTGAATATCTCTAAGAATGAAATCCTTTCGTTTTTCCAACGAAATATCTGTAAGGTTACTAGGCAACGTAGGCTTCAATTCTTTGGGATCTTCCAAAGTTTTCGTTGTCTTCTCCAGGTCGAACGTCTCAGAATTATCAGTTTTCACTTCCTCTAGTTTAAATATATCCTCGTCGTCCTCAGGATTTGAATTTCTCTTCACATTGATTAAATTCCTTTCTAGCGTCCCTCTTCTTCGTCTTTCTTTCCACCAAGATGTTGATGACTGGAATATAATATCAGATTTCTTCGTAGCTGGAAAATCTTCAGTGAATATCTCGAGTTCCAATTCACAATTCTTGACAGTTTTGTGATCACGGGAAGTACTAGCTGTATCATGCAACTGTCTAGTCCTGACAGATATACCGTCAAAGTTCGAATCTTCATCCGGATAGTATGAATCGCTTAATTTGTCCTTTTCCAAATATTTAGATTTCACGTCACAGTACGGTTCGAAATCCATATTATCGTACTCAGTCTTGTCTTCCTTGCTTTGCAAAGGCCTCATACTTAACATTCTTGGCTCCATAAGCATCTCTAAAATATCCTTGTGTCGCAACTGTGAATCACTAGTAGATTGTTTATTGTAGTCAACAGTATTTCCTAAAGAATCACTTTCTATACTGTACCTCTTATGCATCTGTTCAGCAATACTGTAATTCAAAAAATTGTCCAGAACTCTATCACTTTTGTCACGATCACACTCAAAGGCTCGAGAATAACTCTTTCGTCGTAAATTTTTATCAGAGTATTTAATCAATGACTCGCCGTGGCTTTCAGTTTTTTCACTATTCGACCGTTGTCTTCGTCTTCGATAATCTTCATGGCGCCTCTTACTGTGGGATTCTTTAAACTTTTCACGATAATCATATTGATGATATTTGGAAGATGATTTACCATAATAAGAGTAGCACGGTTGTAAGTATCCTTCTCGCGCACGAGCTTCCATTATCAAGGTGCGATATGTAAATTTTGGATTAGGACTATAAGTTATTTTTCCATCCTTAGTTGTGTAAACTGGGACGGTGTTTAGATTCTCCAAGGCATCCAGATTGGTGAAGATTGGATTGACGTAACTGTCAGGATTCTTATACTTCTCGCAGTCTTCCTCGAAACGGAAGTTACTCTTTGAACATCTCCAGGACTGCTGAGGTACTTCCTCTTGGTCATTGTCGTTGGGTGCTACGTCGAAGTTATCGAAGTCAAAGTCGAATGTACTTTTTGACACTGCATTTTCAGGTTCCTTGTTTGTTTCGATTCTACATGGCTCCAGATCGATTTCATCGAAACTCTTGTTTCGAAAATCATTTAATTGGTGGGGAGAACGTAAAATTGTTGTAGAGTCCAATAAGTTTGACGAGGATGCTGGTTCATGAATTTGTGAAAACAATGTGTCCTTTATCTTAGGAATTTTCGAAGGATTCACTGAATGTATTATTGATTCAGGATTCTTTGCTGTCTCTTCAGAATTTCGGATACTGTTGCTTTTATCTTTATCCATAACTTCTTTTTCTAGGGATGACGAAAATGGTGTAGTTTCAGAATTGTTGTCAACGTTTTTTGATTCCACAATATTCTGGGTATTCATATCTAAAACATTAGAGTTCAGGACCAACGAACTTTCATTGATTTTCATCTCCTGCAATGCGTTTGTGGTATCCTTTCGAACTTCAGATTTTTCCCTTTCAAAGAGATTCAATGAAATATTCTCTTCTAAATTGTCCTGGACATTTCCTAATTCTTTTGTTTCCGTAACTAATGCTGATTTTACGTTTGGTTCTACTTCTTTGATATCGATACGTTCTTTAATTGAATCTTTCGATAAGGGTTCTTTTATTTTATCCAAATTACCAATTTCATCATCTAAGCTGGTAGTTTCTATTTTCTTGGTTGACTCAGTAGAAGTTTCTTGTAAACTCAAAGTCTTCTCTTCTAAATTACATGGATTTATGAAATTTTCTTTCAATACTTCAATTACCAAACATTGTTCTTGTGTTCGTTTAGAAATTTCTTCTGGCGCTTTACTGTTCATCTTCAAATAGGTTTCATCTTTAATCTCGTTATTGAAATCGTTCTGCACTCTACTTACCAAAGGAATTTCTTCATTCTGTTTCGTGGTCTCATTGGCACAGGATTCTTTTACATGAAAGGATCCACTTTCAATATGAGTTTTTAAACTCAAATCCTCTGGCGATTCTTCGAAGGCTTCAAACTTATCAGGTACTTGAGTCAAACGGGTTTCAGGATTTTTTGCAGGTTCCTGGGACACTTGAATTTTTGCTTCATCTTGAACTGTTTTATTCTTTGGTTTTCGAAATTCTTTTAACAACTGTATCCGTTCTTTGTTGCTGTCTTTACTGTTACTCAAAGATTTGGAATCCTTGGTGAGTTGATCGGTTCCTTGGAGTTCCGGTTCAAAGAATTTTGCATTCTCCAACAATTTTGTAGCGATATCATTTATGAAATTACCTTTTTCTTTATTATCCACCCTTTTCAAACCTTCACGGACTTCTTTACTGTAACACTTTGAATCAATCTTATTGCTCATGGATACTTGAGCACACTTCAGCTTCACTGCTGTATTAATTTCCTTAATTTCGTTAGGTTTTACATCTTCATCTTCTGTTACCCGGATTAATGCCACATCCTCTTCTGGCTTGAGCGTGGAAAATGTACTATCACTTGCGGAGTAAGAAGTAGCATCTAAGGTCGTCTCAGAACATTTTGAATATTCATTAGAACTTTTTTCATTGGCTTTAAGATTTTTCTTCACAGATCTGCGAACATCATTTGAATTTTTCCAGCACTTTGAACTTCTCCATCCAGATTTTTTCACTTTCATTAGTTTCTTCGTGCAGGAATCCTCGCGCCCAGAGCTTTTGCGGACAGTAAATTCTGCAGTGAGATTTCCATCCAAACTCTTATCTATGGATTCTACTTCCATCCAAATGTCATCCATATCATCAAGATTCTCTTCGTCTGAGCCAAGTACATCCAGATCTGTAATTGGCATAGTGTTTTTCATGATTTTCGTTAGGCAATTACCCTCCATTGGTGGCACAGGCATTTTTGGCTCTTCAAACTCTTCACCTGGTATCAGTGGGATCATAGCTCCTGTAGCAGTGAAATCATTTTGATTCAGGATAGCTCGTGACTCAGTATATACTTTCTCCCGTTTCAACAAATTACTGTGAACCTTCTCCTCAACCTCTGTGAAAGAAAAATATATCATTTTTAGTTTAGAATAACATGTATCATAGTCGGGAGATAAAGATATCTTGGTACAGATTCATTGAAATTATTTAAAAATTAATTTCATTTAAAAAGTAATCAAAATGTACTTACCACTGTTGGAATTCTTCACAATTTTCTGCGTATATGTAGATTCTTCATTGGATTCTTTGATACTGATTGAAGATTGACTCATCTTCTTATCGATAGAATCGTTCTTCGAATTAGAAGATGTTTCCTCCGGTTCCAATTCCTGAGTGATAGTGGATTCTTTGATTTCAGAAGAAATCTGATCAACCATGTCAAAGTGATCTTTACTGGAATTTACATTATTTTCTAAAGTATCAGAAGGCTCTTCTTCGCCTTCAAAATCAAAATCTAACGAGGACTCATGCGACTCTTTCTGTGTAAGTCTTCTTTGATCCAAATGTCCATAAGGTTCTATTTTCACAGGTGAATGAGTAAAGCTGATCATGGGACTATTTTGTATGATTTCTATAGGATTGGTTGGAATTGTCAGATCAACTACGTGACTGGATGAGTCCTCACTGTCAGAATGTATAGGAGTATTTAAGGTAGTCGATATAGGAGTACACTCTGAAGTTGGCAGATCAGGTAAACTGATGTCATCAGGATTGTGGGACTCTTCGCTGGTGAAACTATTCTGTTTCCTCAAGTTAGAATTGTTATCACAAACGTCCTTCTCAGAAGTAGACAAACTGGACATCTCATCTGTACTACCTCTACGCTCTGAAGCTTCCTGGATGTCTGTAGATGACTTTGGAAAATTTGTATTAGAGCTGGAATCACTGTAACAGCTGTCCTCGTTCAATTCCTCCAGACTTTTAGTCAATTCTGTGGATTCCTCGTGTGATTCTTTTTCACTCTTCTCATCCACGACAATCCTTGCTTGCGTTACGTCCTCGATAGCGAGTTTTTCCACCTCCTGGTGTATCTCTTCCGTGACTGGACTAGTGAGATTTTCAAAAGCGTCCACAATTCTCTCCACGGTATCATCATTATCCAAATTCTCCACGATGTGAATCGTGGGGACGTTATCAATAGCGTCCGTGATACAGTGAATAACACTTCCAGTCCTTCCCGGATCCTTAATGATTTCGGAAACCTTGGGGGTGTCATCGACACCGTCAACGTTATTGACAACGTTAACTATGTTGGTACAGTCCGAAATAACGTGACACTCGGCAACTTGGGTTTCGGATGGCTCCTCAATCTTCGCTGAATCCATTTCATTTTGATTAACGTCAAAATCCTCTTTGGAGCAAGCTGCATCTTCCAAATTTTGAAGAACCTCTGGACTCTTCTCGATGACTTTTGTATCCTCATACCCAACCACGACAACCGGAGTCACGGTATTGAGTATCACGTCCGTCACATTCTCACTGCAGCTCTCTTCGTCTTCAGACTCATCCCAATTGGCTAGAAACTGACGTACATCCAGTTCTGGTTTATTCGCAAAGTTCTTCGAGTTGCTTTGCTGTACAGAGGAAACTTCTTCATTGGTTCTTGTACTGATAACGTGAAAACTCTTAGAACCGAAGCGGTGCTCTTGATACTGTTGCTCCGTTTGCTGCTTTTCGTCTGTCTGTTCGAAATCCTTCTGAACTGAAAATGTATCCCGATGACGAAGAGATTCTTGTTGAATTGGTTTCTTATGTTCAGGAGGATTAGCAAAATTCTCTGAAGATCTCTGAAGATTATGAGCGTCCGTGTCCGAATTGCTAGGCACTTGCTCATTAGCAGAAACGGAATTACCAGCATTAATAGGATTCGATGCGTTAGCAGAAAAGGCCGTTGGTAGGTAACTTGAATTAATAAGGACACCGTTCTGATCAAATTGCAAATTAATTGGCGGAATTTCCTCACTGACTGGTGTACTGACTAGCCTCGGTGAGCTTTCTTGCACAGTACTCTGATAGTCAACAGTTTGTTGAAGCCTCAGAAGCTCCCTGTACCTGAGAACGCATTCTTGATATTTAGGGTGTGTCTGATATCCTGGAATCCTTGTGAGTTCTCGTAGATGGTTTTCCATGGAGTATCGTTGCATAGCAATCTTCTGCTGGTATACTTGATACTTGGGATAATTCCCATGAATTGGTGTTGCGTTGGGCATTCTGTTGCTAACTAAATTAGGATCCGTACTTTCCCTGTAGTCTCTAGGAAATTCCCGTGTTAAGTCCCGTGGCAGCTGAGGATTGAAGTAAGGATTCTGATTACGTGGCATGACATTGGTCCCCACATTGGGAGTATTCATAATATTCTTCTGTAAAGCCCCACCGCCATTCTGATACTGTATCTGCTTGGTGGTATATTTTTGTTGGACTATAACACTCTGTTCCTGATACTTCAAAATTGCCGGATTCTGAGTGTTCATACCGTTTTCCCGTGGATAGTCCTTTATGTTGTAAGGGTACTTCTGATAGTCCGTAGGGAAGTTGTAATTCTGAACAGGATAATTTGGTAAAGCACTGTGAGGCGGTGGATAGCCCCTAGGAACAACAGAATCCTTTCTGTACTTATAGTCGGGAAAGCTTCTTCTAGGATCAATGGTGAAAGTCGTGCCAAGGGTATCTTTGTTCTCGAAGCCGTTCTTGCGATAGTTGAATTCGTTGCCAAACCTCCTGTTATCACTGGAGTATCCAGTAGGTCCGATATTATCTCTGTACAGGTTTGGTTGATAAGGCCCGAATTTCTCCCAAGCTTGATAACCCACATTAGGCTCAGGATTGCAACAGGGACCCTTACAGGGAACGTAAGGCGCCTGTCTCGAAGGAACTGCGTTTATACCTGGGTTTCTAGTTCCCATAGAAGTCAAGGTACTTCCTGCACCAATATTCGCACCGCTCATATGGCCCATAGTATGATTAAGAGGTACCTGATTGTTCCTGTGTGCTATTGCCTCGTTAATAGTACCCACAGGAACATTGAGGCCCTCCATCATGGGATTTCTTGATGTGGAGGGGCCGTAAGGCCCCACGCAAGAACCATGCATTTGATGCATAGACCCCTCGGAGCCATTGTGAGGGTTCAGAGCACTTGGTGATCCTTGAAAATTACGTGGACTGTAATTCGTTTCAGTCTGACCCTTAGCAAGACCTTCCGAGCTTAGATTCAATCCCAGGGCCCTCTGATCCACACCGCTGTTGAACAGGTGACCAGGGTTCACATTTTGACTGGTTGTCGTCACTTCCGGTGCTGTTGGCTGTCCCGGATTATATTGATGCCAGTCTGGCATATTTCCACCGTAGTTCATTGTACATTGTCTTGCTTTTCTGGCTTCTCAAACGCAGCTGCCTCGCGGGATTCTAGACTGGACTCTTTCCTGTCAATCAAAAAACACATTTTTACAATTTTTCCTTATTCAAAATCCAAAACAAAAAATTAAAACAAACCAATCATTACTCCCGTTATTCCAAACTGCCAATGTTCATGAACTTAATGGAAACCCAAAGAATTATACAGACAGCTATATTCCATTTTAGTTTAATACATTAAACGCGATACAACAGTGACTTTCCGGTTCGTTTAAACCGTCTGGTCAAATAGCCTGCGTCTGGTTAAGGACAGTTATATATTAATTTATTCAAATGTTATGCATTAATTGTGTCCCCTGGAATATCACGCTTAATCGGAATCGATTAAAAGGGCCACGCTCGTACACAAGGCGAAGTATCATTATCATAAAGTTATTAGCACAAAATTCCCAACTATAGAAATAGTGAAAAATAAGGAAAAAATATACCCCTCAATCTCGCTACAAAGTACCATTTACAAGCATAAATACAGGACTACGTTCAAAGGAAATCAATCTGATATCGTTTACTTGGGTAGCGATAGGCGCAGTGCTTTAAAGCGAGTCTCTTATCGAACCGTATCAGTCCGAGAATTATGCATTGTTCCCCAACCATTAAGCAATACACGCCAGGAGACAGCCATACCAGCGAACACGTTGCAGCCTTAGCAAAAAAAAGACATATATGGCAATTTGAAGTGTTAAAAAAAAATGTTGAGGTTATCATGGTGACCAAGCAATTTCTTCTGTATCTCTTCATCGAGAAACATTAATTGTATGTTATCGTAATGACGATTCGTCGCGCATCGCAAAGTATCCCGACGCGCACAGTAAACATAAACTTTAAAAGAATACTCGACGAGCAGCGTCGAGTCTTCGAGGAAAGAAAAATACTGCAGGCTGTGACAGAACAAAGTTGTAAAACTATGACTCCTAAATCTTTCCTTGTCACGTAGCCTTCCACGGGTCATGAATAAAATGTCATATTGCTTTTGGGACATCGTGCGCGGGCCATGTCGATCAATTATTCTTTGTTGTCACTGGGATTCCGGTGGCAAATAAAGTAGGACGGAAGAAACAAAAAAAAAAGTATGTTTCAGAGCAATGGCGACAACTGGTAAGCGTCGTGTCGCCTCGCATGACAGCTAACGACTACTTCACTGCATACTAACGCTGTACTAATTGCGATACCGCGTTTGGATAAAATATAATTATTTTGTCGACCTGTATCAGGAAATTCCATTTCCTGCCGACTAATCGTTGCATAACGTTTGACATTTATTTCAATGCGCCTAAACATACGGTTATACAAATTTCAATTAGAGTTCGCGACTTTGCGTCAATCATAGTCTATACTCCTCGTAAAGCGAACATTATCTCCAGTTTTAAGATTGCTCACAAGTCCTTTGTAATATATTTGTTTTAATCGAACAACATTTAATTTCATCACCCTACGTACTATACGATTGAAGGGGAAAAAAGTATTTAACAACAATCAATGTACGAATACGTTCGAGCTTGTACATTTGATTTTTATAATTAAAATTAACCTATCCTCGACACGTTGTTTTAGTGACGAAGTTTCGTAGCTGTTTTCTGTGCTTTGCATTGGCAAATGAGCTGCCGCGCTACGAGTACCGATAATAGATATATAAATACACAGAATTTACTGCGCTGATAAGCCGCCGATCGAGTACACTAGTGCTAGATAAGAGAATTAACAATAGAAATGGAGATTAAATCGGCATGGAATGCGGACGGACAATACATAATGTACGTATTTTCTTAGTTTGTCACGGCATATTGAACCCGACATGACGTTCATATTTACAATTTCTTTCGACATTCAATAACTTTTATCGTATTGCAAATCCGCGTTTACGTTTACAATTCGTAGGCACATGTCCTTCTGTACAACAATTTAGCTTTACAAAATTTTACGATCAACGTTTAGTAACAAGAGGATCGAATCTGCATTTAACATTTCATCAGTTTGCTTTTGCATAATCGCAAGAACGCGAGCGCGCATAATTCTAAAGTGACACAAAGTATACTATACGCTTGCTTAGAATTTATTTCTAGACGGGAACCATTGCCGTTTCCATAATTTTGAAATGAATAATACGAACATTTTATACTAAGTGGACAAAATCGGTCTACGATCATATGTATCAATAAAACTGAACAGATATAATCAACGCCAAGAAGTTAGATACGTGAATGTGTGTTTCGCAACGTGTGAATGAAAAAGAAAGAGATAGAGATAAAGATAATTCGCAATGAATACTAGTTACGAATTTTCAAAGCGTATTGCGCGCACTGACGTGTAAATGAAAAATTGTCATCGGTCGTGTTCTAATTCTGACACAGGAAGAGAATATAAAGTAAAAAAAAGGCATTGTACTAGTGCAAAGTGACAGAACCCCCGGTAAGGCATGTGAAACGAAGTGATTCATGGTACGTGGACAACGGTGTCCACGGTGGCTTACGACTTCGTAAATTAACGAGACCAATTTCACGGGAATTACATTTGAATAGTGGAAATGGATATTAAGAAAACAATGAACAAATTTTCTTTAGGAATTATTCCCCAGGTATAAATCACCAGGAGCATTCGAAGATGGCAAGTATTTAGTGATGTGAATTCAGTAACAGGTGATCACGGATTTTGTGAAATATTAACGGAGGATGTCACAGTGAGTCGGTACCGTAAGGAAAACTAAAAAGCGTAACGTCGTTACGTCGAGTGCGTACCTGTTATTGCCAATGCACCTTGCCAGCCAGGTAGACCTTGGGTACTCGCAGAGATTGGCACGACACACCATATTTATCGCTAAATATCAAGCTAGCCGAATTCGACGCATTCTGCTAATGCGATCAATTAATGACATTTTCCATACTCTGTTAATACTTGACGGAGAATGGTCACTTCTGCTAACCTAAAACTAGACTTCCTCGATCCAAAATTCAATGAATACGACTGATGACTTACCTGTGTATCGGATTCACTCACAACACACGCGCCATTTTGAATATAACGATATTATTATTATTATACAACGAGTGGCCCTCTGTTGGGAGATTCCTGAAACAGAACTCTATAGCTGTAGGTATAGTATACAAGTACATGTATATATATATATATATATATATACCTACTATATGTATATATCGGGTGATCCAGCTAAACGTAAAATACCAGTCAACATCGTACTCATGTGTTAATGCTACTTTTACCCAAATCATCCGCTATAAAACTTTACTGTATGAAAGTCTATACTCGGATGTATAATAATATATGAAGTTATGGAAGAACATATAAGCTAATTTTTTGTTTTTTAGAATTCATTTAAATGTGAGCAATTCATTTTCTTAAAGTTACGTCAGGTTAGCTTGGGTTTAGAGGCTTCATTGGAAATCAAGGACGAATAATGATATACACATTGTTGGATTTTCTTGATTTATTATGAAAAAGCGACTCCTCGAAATCCGTCTTCTTTATACTGTGTCGCCATGCAAAAGTAACTCCTCAAAATCTGCATCACGAAGAAGATAGACTTTGCGTTGGTCTTATCAATGATTACGACGAGAATGCTCGTTCTCTTGCCTCCTGCGGAAGTCTAGTCTAATTCAGAAATGTTACACGTATTTGCCTTCAACCTTGTCAGTGTTATTCGATTATCCGCTCGAGTTCATTGGACTTTGGTCAAGCACAGTGTACTCTTCTCATTTTCCAAAATACACGAAACTCCTTAACGATGAACTCCTAATTGAAGCGAGAATTCGAGCCGTTCAGGGATTGAGGTTCAACTTGGCCGCTTCCTGCCGTATCACTGAGATAAGTTCTTGGTTTATCAGGAATATGAATCGTAAACCAGCAATCTGTAACAGTGGATCACATTAGGATTAGCTATCGATCGATCATTGATAGGTCAATTTTGCTCAGACTCTTTAAGCGCCTGACGTAAACCTTTCATAAATAAGAGTGTGTTACTGATATGGAAACAGAGACGAGAACGTTATTTCACTGTCGAAGGAAAACGCAAGATAGAGTTCTGCTTTTCTACTTATTTCTCTCTTATTTTTATTGCGCTTTACTCATGTTTGACCTAACGGAGTAACAGATGGATCCAATGCTGACTGTTATTTATAAAATCCGCTGTCTCATGGCGCAAAGTCAATTGATAACAGGTGGGCAATAACGAAAGGTATGGATCAATTAGAAATACTTGATGAGATAAGTGAGTTTCTTATATAATTCAGAAATTCCAGCTAAAAATTATCAATTTTAGCGTATTGTGACAAATACAAAAAAAAACAAGAAGATTACTGAGAATGTAACACGTCTTCAGGTAGGCTTGTCAGGTATGTTTGAGATGTACAACAGGCTCAGTGTGAACTTCACGAGAAACTGATTCCTCGGTAAACGCGTTAAATATACTAATTGTATTAGTCAAATCGAATCTACGTGAGGTTGGTACCCCAATTTGGAGAATTCTATATTTTTCGTTCACACATTGTTTGCTTATCGTTAAAGCATGAAACCTATTTTTTACTTTTTTTTCTTGAGTCAGCTAACGATTTCAAAATAATGTTAAAACCGATCCAGATTCAATAAGAATCCACAGAATTAGCACTTGAAAGGAAAATATATGCAGCGCCATTCATGATTTTTCTAAAAGTACAAATTTAATTATAAAGATCAGGGATACTTTTATATCCTTCACCAGAGAAGTATGGTACCCTTCTCTCTTCCTCATACTTAAGCTGATAAAAAGACGCAACGAGCTATAATTACCATGAGTGAGATTTCCGAACACACCCTAGCACTCGAGATGATGCCGTAATAAGTAGTAAGTATCCGGAAGGTACTGTGTTTTTAAACGGCAAGTCTAAAAACTATTCTTGTCGACCTCAGTGTCGTCAGAGATAAAAAAAAAAGAAATGTAACTTTCTATACATCCTACAAGTGCAACAAGAACAGATTTATTGACGCTTAAAAATGTGAGGCAAGGAGATACATATAAATGACCTGAATAATGAGCAACATATGTTATCGCATTAGCTTCAAGATGAATACGCTGTTCAATGGTTCTACATATCATGATGACCCAGGCGTGTTCTTAGATGGGGAAGTTTACAAGGAATCCAAATATGTTTTACGTTCTCAGAATGCCAGGATGTCTAAAAGATAATCTCACAAAATATTCCTTCCAGAAACCCAAACAAAAACTATACGAGGTTAACTAAATACTTTAGATCATTCAACAGCTGTAAGACACGCATGAACATTTTTTTCTATGTCAATTACCTATAGACCTTTCACTGCACAAAAGTTTATATGTTAACGATATTCGCTGACAATTAAATAACCAAGTATACACACTCACCTCCACAACGCTATTGTTATTCAATTTCATTTTGTTCCCAGCAAGAATTGGTCTGCTATCCACAAAAATGGGCCTTTTGCCTTCGGATGAAAGAAAGAAGTCACCATTATTTCGCAACCGAATGGTACCTTGTCTTCTAGACACTTTCCAAGCAGGTCCTTCCAAGGTGAGATCGACGTCGACATTATGATCCTTGGTAGAACGGCCGACAGTGATCTTGTGTTAGAAAAAATACATAGCTGGTTAATTGAGTTCTACAGACAGTATTGTTTCTTTAAAGTTTTTAAATGCTACAAACCTCTCGAGATCTCATTAAGTAACGCACTAGTCTTCCCCGTAGTATTGCCAAGGTCTGATTATCGAAATCCGGAGGATTTATACCTGTGACACTATCTACGAGTACCTGCCATCTGCCTAGTTCGTTTTCTAGCATCCTGATCTCTTTCTTATTTTTCCGATCAGTCATGGTGAATTCGGCATCAATGGTCTCGTCCTTCTGGTCGGCTAACTCGGCATCGTTGATCATATCCTCGGCATCAGAGAAGTTTAGGACATGCTCGCCACGAGGAAGACTCTGCACGGTTTGATCAGGTAATAAGTGATACTGTTTCATTAGTTGCCAATGTGCCAGTAGAGATTTGGCTGTTCTGGCTGGATAAAATGTTTGGGCATTTGTTTCTAAGAGTTCCTGGAATGTTTCCAGTGTCGGTTGTGATGTCTGAAATATCAAATTAGAAAATTAATTCAAGAAGGTCCAATAAACAAGCATGTGTAGTTATTCTTTCACTAAAATAAATTATGAGCTGACTGATTTTATAATCCCTAGGAGGTCCTCTTCTGCTTTGCTGTATAATGTTCTTGCTTGTACGCTTGCTATTAACTCTGGATGCAAGTTACGCATTGCCTGGACAGCAACACGAGATACAGCACTGTCATATAACAGAGCATACCATCTCTGCTGTATTTCCTGAAGGGTGAATCGACAGGAAAATTTTGTACCACGATGAACCTGTAGAAAAATTTATAACATATTAATAAGCAATTAGCATAGTCCTTATGAAATAACATTTCTATTTAATTAAAACCATTTATTTCTACCATTCTTAAGTCATTTGTCTGCTGGACACCAGTAATAAGTGCTAAATCATCTGTAGGTTTCCAACGACCCAAATCCTTTGTAGCATTTGCTGAATGTGGGTGATTCTTATTTTTCTTATTTTTTCTACCAGGCCCATTTGATCCACTGGGTCTGGTAGGTCTACGATTACAACGATCAGACTGTGCTATTGCTGCTGGTATCTGAATGGGACTAGGTAAAGCTTGGGCAGCAGGTATGATATCCAAAGGTCCACTAGACATTGATACTGTACGCGAACGTGAGCTAGATTTAGCAGCTGCTGTCGGTGGTTGTAAGTTAAAAGTTGTCTCCACAAGCTCGTCATCAAATTTTCTACGTTTTATTGTACGCGATGAGCTGTTAAAAATAAATTCATTATATCTGATTTCAAATAATAATAACAAAATCAAAATTCATTCATTATCTGTTTACCTTCTACGTTTAGTAGCCAGTGCATCTTGAGTCGGAGATTCAATAGGTAAGTTAAGAAATCCATCGGTATCATGCGAGAGTCCAGTAGCAGTCATACTTGACGAAGATGAGATATCCATGTTAATAAAATCTCAATAGTAACGTCAAGCACACATTGAAATAGTCGAAGAGAACACTATGAAAAAAATAAAACGTAGATGTAGAAATAAAACGTTTACGTACGTAAAACGTACTTAAATTAACTTCTTGAAAGGTTCCCAAAAAAAGAGCTCTCTACATTTTACACGGGCATAGAATGTTCGTTTTTATAACTCTGCACGGGCTTCTTTTACTCTGTATAAAATCACAGTATTACTGGCTGATTAAAATGGTGAAAACGTACGGAACTGGATATCGTAATCAACACCAAAAACGCAATACAGAAAAATGTTATATTTTTTAGCTTCGCTACCTCAACCCCAATTCGCATATTACACAGATCGTGTATAGTGCATAATAAGTAAATATAATTAAGTAACAATGATCTTGTTCAATAGAGACCAGCACTGTTGCACTTTGAAAATTTAGATTTGTCCATTAATAAATGAAAACTGACTTTCTCTTCGTACGACGCGCAGTGCTGCTACAAACGGGGAATAAGTGAACTAAAGAGCGCAATCGAAAGGAAGCCTCTCAAGGCGAGGAGTTCGCGATTAGCGTTGCCTTACCGGAGTGTGCACGTTTCTACGAACGTTATCCAGCATTTATTCATTTCTGCTGTAAAAACGAAGTCTCGCAATGGATGACGAGTGGGGTAAGTTATTTTTAATATTTAGGATTTTAAATAAATGGGAGATTTTTTGTGATGTAGAAAATATGGAAATTGTATAAATACTTTGATGCAATGTACATATCCACTTGCCATGTTGTAGATGTGGGTAACGAATCCAAATTCGACCTCGCTGTGAGGTCAAATAAGTGGGATGGTGAGGATGAAGAAGAAGAAGAAGTCAAGGTATAAAGATTTTAACAATCTCCGTGGATAGAATTTGCTGGAATGGATGTGACAGATTTGTCTGTTCATATATAGCATCTACACCCATATGCTAAAAAATTGAAACATATTAGCATCGTAATGGTTTAGGGTTGAAATGATTTTCCTTTAGTTCTATCATTTGTAGAGTATTGACAATAAGGAAATAATATTTTACGTTCTTAACATATACTATAATGGTTATGACATTTGACAAATGTCATATTTACTTTATATATATTTTATTTTATACCTATGTAATATGGATAAACAGGACAGTTGGGAAGACTTTGACGAAGAAAAGAAAGACGTGGAAAAACCAGCTGAAGTGCCGAAGGCTAAACCAAAACCTAAGAAAACTTTAGCTGAAAAAATAGAAGAACGTGAGGTTTGTACATTATAATTATTAATATATGTTTCAACTATAGAACCTGATGCAAATTACCAACTCCAAAACGCATTAAAGAGCATATTTTCTTTTTTTCTTATAGAGAAAGGCACGCGAAGAAGCTGAAAGAAAAGCAAAGGAAAAGGAAAAGGCTTTGACACCAGAGGAAAAGAGAGCAGAGCTTCTAAGGCGTCAGAGGCTACAGGAGGAGGCTGACCTACGACTGGCAATGGAAACCTTTGGTTTGTCGAACCTTGTAGACTTTAGTCCCCGTAAACCTGAGAAGAGCGATAAGAAATAACCCAATCCCGCGGCAGTTAATCTTCCCTTAAAGGAAAATATGAGAGATTAGCCACCCTTGGAAAGCGTTTGAGAATTCGTACCAGTGTTTGGCCGTGCGTAACCTTCAACTCGCTTGCATTAATCGGAAAAACACTGACAGAAAAATGCCCATGAGAAAAAAATGGCCTAGACGAAAATTGAGAGCTTTCATTAAGTATCAAACTTCCCGCAGGTGGTTCGAAATTGAATTGCACCAATTATTCCGTTGTCAGTTAGAGTATTTTTCTTTCGGTATTTCATAAATTTTATCAGAGTGTGCGAAATCTTCAAGACGATATCACATACAAGAACGCCACGTAAGAAATTTATGATAGAAAAAAAATAAGGAAGTTTGCGTTGCACTGAAGAAACGTAAGGTATTTAACATAGCAAGTAGAGTAGAAAGAGGGATTAAGAGTTTGCAAACTGAAAACAGTAGCTGTAATTTTGGGTATGAGCATAGGCAACAATACATTCTTGTCGATGATGTAATAAGCATCAAACACAGGAAGAATGATAATGATAATTTAGAATAAGGATACAAGGACACGAAGGGGTCAATCTAAAATTAATGTAACAGTATTACAGAGCTATTACAAACGTACACGAGATCTGGGACAGTCGGTCATTCTCTTCGCGACAAAGTTCAATTTCAAGAGGACATACTGGTGGTTTCTTTTTCTTTTCTTTGAAATTTTCGTAATCCTTTATTTTATTCCACCACTCTCATACTTCTGTCGAACGTGTTTCAACGTACGATTGCATCAGGAACTGTATCAGAGATATATCAATATATTATTATACATATATTACGTACATACGTCTTATATAGAAAATGTATGCGAATACGTACATACATTCACTCTTACTATCCGATTTGACTACATGAAATTTACACTAATGATGTTATTGTATTTTAATAAAAGTTGCTGTTTATGCAAAGTAAAAAAAAAATAAAACGCTGTGTTACGTGAGTTCTTATGGAAAACCTTAATTGTTTCACACATTGCAAGCTCACGATCTCCTGTAGAGTTCCTGATGAGCATCGTACACCTCAATCCGATCACCGTGAACCGATAGAATCTCGATATAGTAAATGACCTAGTAAAGAAAAGATGTAAAAGAACCAAAACTTCATCATAAAAATTAACATCCTATATAATTTCGAGTTACTATTCTCTTGCTTTTCGTAGCTCCTGACTTAAATGGAACTACATGAACAATTAGAGCAAAACAAAAATATATATATTTAAGAAGCAATAGAATAATGCAACATTGAAGAAATGTATATATATAATTCTTGTATTAATTTCAAGGTGTCGCAGAGCCTGTAACATCCGGTCTGGATGCCATGACGCCTGACACTAACGAGGAATTTGACCAGTTCTCGGACGCTCTTCTCCAAAAGATCAACCAATTCAACAAACACACGGAATTCCCAGCCTTCGCCGAGGAACTTATAAAAGGAATCGCAGTTAGCTGTTAGTTTTTTCCATTATATATCTGTGAAGTTAAAATAGTATCAAGGGTTTAACTAATCGTGTAAATTTTTAGTGTCTTCTACAAGTCTGAAGAGGGTCAAAACGACAATAGACAACCTTGTCATCGAGAAGGCAAAAATAGAGAAGGGTGACAAGGGTAAGAAGAATAAAGGCAAGGGCAAGGCCAAACTGAAGATTGAGGGCGAGAATACCCACCTCAATGAATATGACGATTACACGTACGACAATGACTATGACGACATCTTCATGTAGCGGCCTCAGGAGTTAACGCAAGAGCTAGTCACCCGGGGTGAGGAGATAATTCAACGAGGGTCACGAGAACGAGTGTAATTGAGACTATAACCGGTTCGCGATCAGATCGCATATAAATAATGAGGACTATTATGTATGAGAATTTAGTGCGTATGGAATGTTTCTACATATATGCACAAGTCTGCCCGGGTGAAATCCAGCAGCATCAGGATGATTCTAACAAAGTACATACGATAAATCCGACAACATGGCTGAGCCTCGACTTCTAAGGACCATGAACAATCTGTAGAAAGAGTAAACCCAGTGCTGATCATGCAGAGAAAATACACAGTTGGCCTATTACGAATAGGTTATTGTGATTTATGAAATATGGTGCACTTCTGTGCTACTGGATGCTCTTTCGGTTACTCTAACCCCTGGAGCTTCCAGAAAACTTTCTCAAGGGATGCTCTCCTTCATCAGGATTGTCGCCTAATGTACTCTAGGCTCCCTGCCCCTAAAATCTATTTACTGTTAATGATGTAACTATTAACCCACTGGCTTTGGTGTTAATTCAAGAAATAACATACTATGACCATGGGAATATTTTTCTGTTCTACGAAACCCTCAGTGAAAAGAAGCAGTTTGGTTACCCTTTTGTTATAATTACAAGAATAATCTTGTAATACAAATGCATGGATTAGCATATATTCTGAGCCATCTATGAACAGAATGAAATTCACGATGGTTAATTGAACAGTTTTTATAATTAACATTGCTTAAATGTATATGTATATATTATATATATTTATATATATAATATAATGTATATGTGCATGTACCTACGTCGAGATTGGTTATAAGTTGGTTTTGAGAAGAGTATATTGCTAAATAAAGGTTGATTTCAAATAATTAAAAGTACTTATATTCTTATTAAAAAAAGTTTGGATTTATTCAACCATAACTCTTTTTTTCATAAATCTACCATAGCTAGCTGGCTAATCGCGAAATGAAATTGAAATCTTGAAATAAAGGAAAAGGGAAATATTCTACATACTATATGAAAACAATATTCCTAATATATAGCAATGAAATTGTTTTTAAATAATTCTAACAATTTTCTTGACACTTAAAATACTACGTCTAGATAACGGTGGATAACGGGTTTAAGATGTCCACTCTGAAATACCTCTTACGCCCTCCACACTCTAGATTGTCATATCTGGTGTCAGCAAGATTACTTAATTATCGAACAACCCATCGTATTCATAGACAAAATAAATACTTGCGAAGACAATTAAGGACGGAAGTTCTTCAGGAAACTACAATAAAAATGGCACTGAGTCCTGGGGATCCAAATTCCTTTTCCACACCAGGTATATAACTAACCTCTTAAATCATTTTTAAATTACAAATGAGGACTGTAGGTTTATGTTGTTTATAGAACTTGCAGCTGTTACTCATACACACTTAGACTTAAGTGTTGACTTTCAAAGGAAGATCCTTACTGGTTCTGTTGTACTGGACGTAGAAAAACGCAATGCTACTGATGAATTAGTAATATACCAAGTTCTATTTTCATGTGCATCTTCAATATTTTAATAATCTTTAATACTATCTATTTATGTATAGATTCTAGACAACCGCGGTATAATCATTCTAACAATACTCAATGCTATCGATGGATCAAATTTAAATTATAACATCAGTGAAGATGTACAATATGGATCTAAGCTAAGCATAAAGTTACCTGAGAATGCAGTGTCCAGCAATGAAGATATACTAAAGTAATTAGATACAATATTTTGTATTGATTATCTTTAGTTATTAGATATTAATTAATTCTATTAACAGGTACAAGATTGAAATTCGTTATGAGACATCTCCGGAAGCTAGTGCTCTACAATGGTTAACACCAGAGCAGACAGCTGGTGGAAAACATCCTTATCTTTTTTCTCAATGCCAGGCAATTCATGCTCGTTCTATGCTTCCTTGTCAAGATACCCCATCTGTAAAGTCTACTTATAGTGCTGCTGTGAGTAAGAGATAAAAGAAAATTCTTGTTGATAACTATCGTATAAAGCATATAAAATTTGTCTTTCTGCATAGATAAAGGCTCCAGCTGAATTAGTAGTATTAATGTCAGCCCAACGGAAGGGCATAAAGGATGAAGGAAATACAAAGATTCACACATTCCATCAGCCTGTGCCAATACCCTCGTATCTGATTGCAATAGCCGTAGGCGCTCTAGTATCCAAGGAAGTTGGACCCAGAAGTAGAGTTTGGGCTGAGAAGGAATTCATCAACCAGAGTGCATATGAATTTGGAGAAACAGAAATGATGCTTAAAACTGCAGAAGATATTTGTGGTCCATACATCTGGGGTAAGTGTGGTATATAAATAAAAAATTTAGAATTTATATAATTCCCTTATATTTTATAATTCAAGGTATCTACGATCTGTTAGTACTTCCACCAAGCTTTCCCTTTGGAGGCATGGAAAATCCTTGTTTAACTTTTGTCACCCCAACTTTGCTTGCTGGAGACCGTTCCTTGGCTAGTGTGGTAGCTCATGAGATTTCGCATAGTTGGACAGGAAACCTGGTTACTAATGCAAACTTTGAACACTTTTGGCTCAATGAAGGTTTCACTATGTTCGTCGAAAGGAAGATTGATGGAAGAATGTTTGGGGATAAGGTCCGCCAGTTTTCAGCACTAAGTGGTATCAAAGCACTCAGAGAAGGTGTAAGTAGATGCGTATAATTGTTAATTATTCAATCATGTAAATCTTCATAAATTTTGATTTACAGATTAATACTATTGGCGAAACGAATCAGCTAACCAGCCTCGTCCCAAATCTAACAGGAGTTGATCCTGACGATGCTTTTTCAATTGTACCTTATGAGAAGGGACATACCTTTTTATATTACTTGGAAGAACTCTTAGGTGGACCTGCTGAATTTGAACCTTTTCTAAAAGAGCACTTGGAAAAATTCAAATACAAAAGTATCGTTACGTCCGACTGGAAAGCATTTCTCTACAGTTACTTCAGTGACAAGAGAGAGGTACATTAATGATAAACATAATCCTAAATTTTATCTGTTACACAATTGATCGATTTTTAGATTCTTAATTCTGTGGATTGGGAGACTTGGTTAAACAAACCAGGCATGCCGCCAGTCATACCAAATTATGATACATCTCTGGCAGACGCCTGTATAGCGTTGGCAAAGAAATGGATAAATTGGAATGAGAATACTTCAAGTATATTTTCAAAATCGGACATCGCAAATCTCACAGCGAATCAGAAACGAGAATTCCTGGTTGAACTGTTTTCTGCAAACGAGACATTGTCTGTGAAGAAACTTGAAGCGATGCAGGCAGCTTATGATTTTGATTCAGTGAAAAACTCTGAGATACGGTATTTATTAAGGATGTTTCTTTAAATTAATTCCACTATGTTTTTTAGTGATACTAAATTCCAATAATTTCTTGTGTAAGGTTCATGTGGCTTCGGATCTGCATTAAAGGACGTTGGGAATCTAAAGTGTTGGATGCACTAGCATTCGCAACACAACAAGGTCGTATGAAATTCGTAAGACCTATTTTCCGAGACCTGTATGCTTGGGAAGCTACTCGTCAGAGAGCAATTGATGCTTACCTGGCTAACAAGAGTAAAATGATGTATGTAAGCGCTCATACAATCGCCAAGGATTTACATCTAATTGAAAAAACCAACTAGAATTCCTTATGCGATTTCGGGTAAAAAAAATCCGAATAGGATGTATAAAATAAGGATATTTGTATTGTTTCAATAAAATTATAATTTTTTAGGAAAATCTTAGTATCTTGTTGCTCTCATTGACAGTCCGATTCATTTTCAAGGATCCCTTAGTCTAGGGGGACAGTAGATTGAGTGGTGATATTATGGATGTAATTGATAAAATAAATTCAGAGCGTCGTGACAATGTCACCAATAAAATATTTATTGTATTGGATTTTAATACATTTTATGACAATTATTGGGATAATCATATTTCCTACCTGCCTTTGTTGATATTCTCACGTATTTTTAATGATCCAACCCTGGCATTATCCTATATACAAATGCAATAAATACCCATTATTCATTGGGCTATGTAATTCTCTGGATATTTTACGAGTTTTGGGAATTCTGCAACTTCCTGTGGAGGAATCTCGTCCAATCTAAGAGGTACTGGTCGCAATTGTTTAATCTGGTTTGAGATATTCTGCATAATATTTTCAGGTACATTCTCATCCTTAAAAATATGTAAGCGTTGCATACTGTATCTACGCTGTAAGTTTCCTTTCATACTTTTGTAAACAGCTTTATTCATAATCTGCAATTTAAAAAAAAAAAGTGATTAGTTCATAAAGTTTCATTGGTATTCTTTTCAGTAATAACATACCATGGTTGGATTTTTTTTGTGCACTTCCCAGGCCATCGTCCAACTTGCACCACCATGATAGCCAGTGTGATGGAAATAAGCACGTCTACGCCATTCATCACCACGCAATGCAATGTCATAGCTATTGATTACAACTACATGATCGCCGCAGTCATCTTAGCAAAAAAAGTCAAATTTATTAGTGCTACTTATAAGACAATCTAATTTCAAATTTAAAGGTTTGCAAAGTACTAACTTAGTGGGTGATAGATGGGTTTGTAAAGACCCATTAAATACATTTTAATTCTTTCTGCACTCAGATATGGATCCTGCCATTTGGCATCGTAAAGATGCCAAATTCTAGCAAAAGTCCCCCATTGCTGAAAAACATTTACATTCATCTTAATTAACACAGCACTAGGATTATTGGATAGCGAACCTTCGGGGAATAAAGCCATACAGAACGAAGAAGAAGATATTGAAGTTTCCCTTGAACGATTATGTATTAAAATAAAAAGGATGTCATGATATTATACTTATGCTCCAGAGAAAAAAGAATGAAAATATTTTTGGAATAAATTTCCTTCCTTATTTGTATAGTATGTACATATCAAGAGAGCATCTCGACTTGAGGTTAGATAGTCGTCTAAACTGATTGAAAGAATTACTCATCAGTACCCACGTATATCAAACATAAGTTACCTGGCTTCTTTGAATGATAGACATTATGAATAGTATTTAACTTTCAATAAACGTAAATTGTTCAATATCCAAGTAGTAATAAAACTTCTCTCGTGATACAAACCGCAGATCACTATACCTATATACGGTAAAACTGTAGTATACGACTCTGAACTGAAGTTGGTTGCTAGTGAGTTTTTTGAGGTAACGCCATCAGCCGGATATAATGTGAATCGCATGGAATAGTCACGCCACCTATTAGAAAAAAAATTAACCATATTTAAAATTATAAAACAAATTTATTTTTATTGAAATACACATATGTATCAATTAATGAAGATCTGAAAAAATATATTATACATAAATTTATATAATTTACTTACAAATTTCGAAGCTAAAACCTCTTCTTTCATCTTACGCAAAATACTGTGAATCGAGAAGTTGATGCTACGTCAATAATTGGTGGCTCTGAAAAGTGCCGATTTTTCGGGATTTCCTCTGTCGACGATTCCACTTCAAAATCCACTTCCGCTGCGTCAGTGTCCTCTGCAGCGTCCACGTCGTTGGATGGAAGTGGATGAACGCGAGCAATGTCTTTCAAAAACGTTTCAAAAGGATCAAGGGCATCTGTTCGCAAGCGTCGGTACATAAACTCCCCTAAATATGAAGAGAACATGCCTTTGCTGCGATTGCAATCCGGCAGTTGCTGTTTTACCAATGCACACAATCCTTCTATAACGTTTGTGGAAGCACCAGTCACGGGATCTTTGAAAGTCAATGAATGATTGACGGCCAGATGCTCGTAACCTTTTGCACCTAAGGATTCATAGGCTTTCCAACAACCGCTAACAATTGTGGTGTCAGGTGCAATAAATTCCTTAATGAGAGGCACGAGTGTGGCCGCCGATCGACCATTGACTGTTGTCAAAAAACACCGATTACTGCCGCGTTCTAACCCACCAAATACCCACTGCCCTGTCACATGGTTACCTCGGTGGTACTTTCGCTTGCCGAACTTCGATTCGTCGATCTCTACAACAATACCCGGACCTCCAGTTTGTCCACGTTCTTCTAGTACAATACCGACGCATAATTCGCGACGGAAATAGTACCAATCGACCGTCGTATGCGGGGAACATTGAAATTCCCACTGAACCTGAATCTGGGTGTACTTATGAATCCAAAAATATGTCAATTTCCAAAATTTCGATCATTGATAACTTCGATTTGCCAAAAAACGAACCAGTTCTCACTGATCTCGTTGTTTTGCAACCACGACATTGCCAACGATATTTGCCCGAAAGAAATTCAGCAGTGCATAGAATCATCTCTTTATCGCACACTGGACACTTGAAAGTCCGAGCTATGAGTCCGTATCTTTGTCCAAAATTTCGATCATTGATAACTTCGATTTGCCAAAAAACGAACCAGTTCTCACTGATCTCGTTGTTTTGCAACCACGACATTGCCAACGATATTTGCCCGAAAGAAATTCAGCAGTGCATAGAATCATCTCTTTATCGCACACTGGACACTTGAAAGTCCGAGCTATGAGTCCGTATCTTTGTGCAAAGGTGATTACCTCAATAGAAGGTTTCTCACCTAGTTTGAACAAATCTACGAACCGTATCACCATTGCAATCGATGACACACAATCCAATTTAAGCAAAAGAAATAATAGCACACTTGTGTTACACGCTTTGCGAGCTACTAACGAAAATCAGGCTTCTACATATTTTACGAAAGCAGACCATACATTGTAGCAAAAAAATCTCGAAGCAGTAGATCAAATTTAATGCTCATTGTACAATCACGAGCTTGCACTTATACACACTATAATTTTAAATAATATTCTTTACAAATTAAATATACACATATTTTATATAAAAATATGTAATAATATCTTCATATCAAAATATTTGTATACATAATAGGTGCAAACCTGTGTGGCGTAACACGAAAATTAAACGAAAAAAATCTTCAAACATGAAATATTGCGATTACTAGATAATATTTTGTGAGAATATATTTTTATAACAAGATAATATATATGATAACAGTAAAAATATATTCATTTCAAATTTTTAAAGATAGTTGCGTTTTTTTTCAATCCGGAGGCGCCACTATTCTATGCAATTCGCATTACATTTGATAGATCGCGCTACGTTAAAAATCTAAGTCACTAGCAGCCAACTTCAGTTCGGAGTCGTATACTGTTGTTTACCCTTTTTTGGTTAATAGGTTCCTTCTCGAAGATAAGTCCATTTCTCCAGATAGAGCTAGGAGGGTGTTAATCGCCGTAGAAATAATCAGTCCCATCACAATTCTCAATACAGCATATATTTTCCTGATTTTTTACAAAATACTTAACTACTTGCCAGATTCTAGTCATGCCCATCTATGGATTTACAGAATTGCAAAACTCTCTGTAGGCTCTGCGCTTCCCCCTTCTGAACGTTTTTTTGCTTCCTTATTACATTCTTCATGTCTTCTTTGACTTTCACTATTCAGATATTTTTTATAATTATTAAGTTCCTTCCGTCTATTACTTAGGGCTTTAGCGCTCTCTTCATTCCACCATCTTTCACATTTATTTCGTAATCCAACCTTGCCACAATTCACAATCTTCGCCTCTGCAGCTAGAGCCGAATCCATGATGTTCTTATAGATTTCCTTATATCTATTCTCTAGATAAACTATTCTCTTGTTCGCCTCTGTCAGTATTTTTCACATAGGTTGAGAAAGCACTTTTGTCCATTCTATTCGTACTCAGTCTTTCGCTTCTGAGGGCAATCTTGGGATACATGTTTCCTATCGAAAAAATTATTGGATACTGATCACTTCTATCGGGTCATTCAAGACCTCCCATTTCCCAGAGCCAGCCATATCCGGGGAGACTATAATAATGTACAGGACGCTGCATCTTCCTTTTTCATTGAGTCTTGTTCCCATTCCTTCATTGGCAATCAAATATACAATCTTCGATGCATGAGCTCAGGTAGTCACCAGCCACGTTCCGTATCTCACTCTCCCATTTAACACTTTGAGCGTTTAGATCTCCACATCAAACAGATTTTGAGGTAGGAATAAATTGCAGTAGCCTCTCCCATTCCTTTTTGGGAGTAGACGTAATTGGAGCTCTATGAGATGAGAATAGGTTCAGATTGAAGTCTCCAATCTTAACTCTAATACTCACTGTCTCAAAGGATTATTACATTCGATAGTTTCATAGTTTAGGTCCTTTTTAATTAAGATCATCACACCACCTCCCCTGTTTGTATTTCCCCTATCCTTCCTAATTATATTATAATCCTTAAAGTTGATATTGTCAGACTGATCTAGTCAAGTTTTAGATATATATATGAGTTTTTTCCATGAGCATCTCTAATTCCTTTCTTTTGCTCAGGATGGTTCTACAATTCCATTGTAAGATCTTCATTTCTTTCTTCGCTGGTAAACCACATCTGGGGCCCGTCTCCGACCTTTGGACACAGCACACGGATAGCCAGCTTCAAGACCCCTTATGTGATTACCAATTGTGCACTCCTGCCTTTCAGACTTGTAATTTCTCCGATTTGCTAATACGATGCGAAATCACGATCTGTAGGATCTAAACTTTGAATATAATAAATATGTGTAAATAATAACTACGTATAAATAACAGTAAATAAGTATATATAATAAATAATTGATTATAGAAATATTTGGCTAGATAAATAAATATATATATAGCACCCTCTATCTCCTAACAATATAACTTTAACAAACTCAACAAATATATTTTCCAACTATAGCAAAACAACACAATTACCACTACCTATACTTATTTACAATTCCAGAAATTACTTAACAGCGAATTTACTTCTGGAACTTTTCACCTGTAGTCACTCTTAACCAACTTGGAGAGAAAAAAAAAATTACCCATCCAAGTAGGCAATCCTTTCCCACATACTAGGGACGTCCTTCCAGGAGAGCCCTGTTCAAGCATACAATTCGTTAAGTTTTCTTTTATCTGGTTACGAATAGCTTCGATCTTTGCATCTGCAATATTATTCACAATTTCCCTAATATCTTTAACCTCCCCCATGGTCAGACAATGAATTAGTTTAGACGAATTTTCTGCAAATCCAGACATCTTCCATCTTTACCTGATGAGATTCGCCCTGAGCTAGATGTCCTTCTTGGCTCTGTTAGAAATGTCAGATTGCATTGCTAGAAACTCAACATCCTGCCTATCCTCCAAATGATCATCTCTGGCTAGTTATGCGCTTCTGTATATGGTATGTTACTAACAGCCATGAGCTTTCTTGTACCCCTTTGTTTTCTGTTCATCTCACAATCACGAGCATCCGTTCTGTAACCACCAATTTTAGAGTTAATACAGAAGGCAGATTCTTCCAGACATTCTTTTTCCTTATGTCTTCCGCCACAGAAAGGGCATCTTAGCTCGCTGCAATAATTTATAATACTATGATTGAATCTTTGACAATTTTAACCACAGAAGTTAGCACCATCTCTATCAAACCATCCCCATCGTACTTCCGTCTCATGATTCTTTCTATCCGTACTATTTTTATTTTTATCCCCTCTAGAGAAGAGTGCACGATACGTTCAGTTAGGACCTTTTCACTTAGATCTGGATCAATATTTCTTATAACCCCTACTCTCGATGTTCTATAATCAGGAATATATGCTAACCATTCACCATTGTAGCTGGCCACATTTTCAGTGAAGGAATTAGCTGCTATTGCAGTTGCAAAAGTTAGTAACAATTTGTACAATCAACTCTTCTCAATTGAGATCAGATCCTTGACTTTTTATAACTTTCTACCAATACTGCATGGATGATATCTTATGCGATTTGCTTCACTTCATCCTCGTTTCTTAATATCACGATAAACGGGGCTACACTGTCCTCTGAGTATCTAGCACTAACATAAGTTGTACTCCGGCGCCTACTTCTCTGTTTCTCTCCTTACTCCCTGACGCAGGAAGTACCTCACGTTGTATCATGCTGGCTTGCACTTAACCTAGATATGTTTAACATTTAATCTAAATGTTATTTCTTAGTTCTAAATTTATCTCAAACTATAAACCTAAATTACTTACAGACCTTTCTCTTTTATCAAATACCTTCCTTCCTTCCTTTCCTTATGGCTGACTCAATACTTTTCGGCAAATACCTTACCAATTAGACAGTTCAACATGAACTAGCCAGACACATTCCACCACCATCTACAATATCCTGTCGTAGCCCTTTCCACCTTTCCTTCCTCAGGATTCTTTCAACTTTGCTTTAATCTGCTTTATATATTCAAATTATTTCACCACACTTATTGAGATCAAACACTCCTTAAACAACTTAAAGATTGCAAATCGAAATTCCGATTACTGAAGACTCAAGTATCCTAATCTCCGAAATACTCCTTGGCGGCAATTCCGTGATTGGATGCTACATCCAGCTAGGAATGTGACAGTAGCAACTGACACTACTAATTATCATCCCACTTCCAACATATGAACATTCTTCTCTCTAATCTTACTTCTTGGTTTAGGAGCAAATTATGTTGATGGACCCACGATGGACCTATCTATAATTTCAAGGTGAAACATAGGAGTACACGAGTCCTCTCGTAGATGGTAGCAGCATTGACGTCGTCAGAACTTTTGCCATTTGCACGTAATAAATAGAAGACACATTTGAACGTGGTACAGGTTATGTCATTCGCGTAACATGGCGACTTACGATGCTACTCTCTGTCACAGGATCCTCGAATATAGGATCTACAAGTGCTCGAGTTATTCGTCCACCTATGTGCCCGAGTGAGTATTCAGTGATTACTTCAACGAGTAGAAAACTAAACGAAGACCTGTCATGGGAGGGGAGTCTACTAAATGTCTACCATTGGTCTCATGTACAAGTCTAACCTGAAGGAGGAAGTGTTTTACGTTGAGAAATATTAAGGCGTCACCCCGAGAAACAGTATAAAGTATTTGACTATAGTTAGCTGGTGCAGGAGAGCTTTGGCTTCAGATGATTTTTCTTCTTCCAGGAATATACTTGTCGATAAACCGTCCGATCAGTCGTCACGTTGGTCATCTGACAATGACAATCATCCTCAGGTAAAGTTATACGTTTTTTATCTTGGCAATTGTGTGTATCTGAATTTAAAGATTGGATTGTTACCCTGTGATTATTATTTTAGTTTCTTATTCTCAAGCTGCAGCATCCAGCGATTGTCAAAACTATTACATTTGGAAAGTACGAAAAGACACATGTTTGTACCATTAGAAAATTCAAGGTTTACGGTGGTATGGATCCGGATAACATGATGGAATTATTAGAAAGGTATTTTAATGGAAATAGTTTTATATGGAGAATACCAGGGTGCTCTGAAAATATAATTCTATAATTTACAATGATGAATATCTCTTAGTGGTTTAAGAAATGATTCAGTGCCAGAGACCTTTGATCTGAAGCATGTGATAGGTAGCGAGGAGAACTATTTCCCATCAAGATATATAAAAATTCTCCCATTACAATCTTGGGGTCCAAGTTTCAATTTTTCCATTTGGCACGTTCGTCTTGCTGGCAATGATGACCCCACAATTGTCAAGCCCAGTATTGAGTGGGTCAATTCGGTAAGAATCACCCCTAGCATTTATAATTGTAAAATTTAGAAAACTAATGATTCTCTGAAAATTTAATTATGTTTAACTACAAAAACGAGAGCTTCAAAGTGACCAAAGGCTAATCCTTATGTTTCAGTATCGTCAGAGAGAAGTAATAAGACTGTGTATGAAGCATTTTCGGCGACTTGAACAACCAGAGGTTGTAGAAACAATACAGAGAGTTACTGGTGTCCCTTTAGAAGATCCTCGACTATCTGTCCTGTACGACCTACTTGTGACTCAAGGCGATCACTGTCAGGCTGAACGATTTATCACAAGCGCGGTAACCAGTGAGTCTTATGACTTCAGTACTAAAAGAGTATATCTCAAAATTAAAATAGTCAATACAATACGTAAGCATAACACAATGAAACCTTGCAGTAGGACTCTTGAACGATTATATAAATGCTCAATCGTATCGAGCAGTCTGGACAAAGCTCTCTTCGAGTGAACCAAAACCAGGAATGCGAGGAGGTCATCAGATGGTATTAGATCCCTCTACGGAAGAGCTATATTTGTTTGGTGGTTGGGATGGAAATCAGGACCTTGCAGACTTTTGGACATATAATATTAGCGCTGGAAAGTGGACACTGATTTGCCGAGATACGGAAACAATGGTAATACATATAATTAAATCATATGGGTTAGGGTACACTTGTGACAATATATAAAGTATCCTAATTGTAGGGCGGTCCCAGCGCGCGTTCTTGTCACAAAATGTGTCTCGATCCTTACAAACGTCAACTGTACACATTGGGTCGCTACCTGGATACTCAATATCGTTCACCGGACAACCTTAAGAGTGACTTTTATATGTACGACCTCGCTACATATAAGTGGACTAAAATTTGTGATGATACCGGCGCCGTTGGCGGGCCCCAATTAATTTTTGATCATCAGATGTCCATGGATTCTGATGGTAGGGCTATATACGTCTTTGGTGGACGCGTTTTAGTTCCACTAGTAAGGTATGTCTTAGCAACTTTGTTAATTTACATTATTCGGTGATTACTTCAATAAACTGAGATGATTGATACTTTTTATTTTACATGCAATTAATCTCCTATTTTTAGCACTGAAGATCAAGGAGCGGTTGTCAACTCCAACGAACCTATTTTCTCAGGACTGTATTCTTATAATATGCGAACAGGGGCGTGGACAAGGTTAGCTTGCGATATAGCAAGGCCAAATTTACCAAACGAACCAACGATTAGATCAAGAGTTGGACATTCCATGTTGTTTCACACAGTAAGTCTCTCGTGCAATTTAGTTTTTATACATTTATTCTACTTTTAAATGCCTTATACATGAGGTCTATCGTTGCCTCTATTAGGAATCCAGAAAATTGTATATTTTTGCGGGGCAAAGAAGCAAGGAGTACCTGACTGATTTCTTTACCTACGATGTTGACGTCGAACAGTTGGAACACATAACATTAAGAGATTTCGGTACTAAAGATTCAACTCACGTACCTGCTGCTGGTTTCACACAAAGAGCTACGATAGATTCAGAACTTGGAGAAATTTATGTTCTATCGGTGAGTCATTTCTAGTTAATATCTTATTTTACTTTTTACTGTCTTTATCTACTTGGAAGAGAACAAATAAACGACTAATTACTTCTCAGGGTTTAAGTAAAGACAAGGATAAGAGAGATGACAATGTACAGAATTCATTTTGGGTCTATAGTATCAAGAACAATAGATGGTCTTGTATTTATCGTAACGAAAATGTCGGTGAGAAGTACTGGAGTAAAATGCAGGATTACGAACCATGTCCTAGATTCGCACATCAGTTGGTGTATGACCACGTGAACAAGGTACAATTTTATCCTTATATAATGCAGTGTTATTAAACGAGAAGTAGTTGACTATGCAAATCATCTACGTAGGTTCACTATCTGTTTGGCGGCAACCCAGGTCGATCCTGTCTGCCAAAATTACGGTTAGATGATTTCTGGCAATTGAGACTTTGTAGACCGTCGCAGGAGGAGATATTAAAGAAGTGCAAACTCATAATAAGGAAACACAAGTTCGAGGAGCTTGCCCTAAGGAATAGCATCGAGGCCCTGGAGTATCTGCAGACACAGATCTCAGAAATCATCGATCATAGTGACGAAGAGCAGACCAAAGAGGTATCAATCGTGTTGATCGCTAGATCATTCTCATATACTCTTCTTTTATAATATAAATTAATTTTACTTGTGTTGCTTGTTCAGTTTCAGCTCCTGGTTTCCGTTCTCTTCCAGACAAAGGATCAGCCGGATTCTAATGTAGATGAGACCTCCAGTACAGACTCCTGGAATTCATCTTTGGGTAACATCCTTACAGCACATAAGAACCTCACCCCAAGAGACATACACATTCGTAGAAGAGAACTCTACGACAAACTCACAGAATTCTTTCCGGAAAACCTAACGCAGCCTAGGGCAAACCTTATCGATCTTCTACCATTGTGATACTCTCGTGGATAAAATCTAGATGGAAGTCGAGGAAATATTACTGCGGGAAGAACCCTTTCAATTCGTACTATACGATAGCACCGCTCAAAGGATGAATATATCCTCCAGGAGTCGGTGAGCTCGTACCAAGAAACCTTTATGAATAGATTCGAAAGACTAATTACGTTTAAATCGGATTCTCTCTTTTTTTTTACATTCTTGAAAAAAGAAAGAAATCCCATAATTATTTAGTTTTACGAACTTTTTCTTTTAAAAATTCCTTTTGATAACGGCATGATAAACTGAATTCAAAGCTTCCAGTCGTTTGCACAGATATTGATTGTTTTTAAATAGTCCTAAATGGAAAAGAAAATCTATTTTTTTTTAATTGCTCGTGCTCTCTTACACACCATATAGATGCATAAACATATTTTTTCTCTCTTTTCTAATATTGATTTATGCTTTATTACTTGCCAGGAATACGTTGCACTAACAATAGTAAGCTAACCCAGGTTTCCTAAATGGAAACGAATTACGATTACGATAGTACAATAAATTATCATGAATTTCTTTGGTGCGTCGTATAACAATAGAAAAAGTTCAGCAGGATGAAAATTTAAAGGATAGCAAGGGGGAGGGTGGCGATGGATAAAACAAGAAAATGTGTTAATCAAGTCTATACACACAGCTTAATATACATATAGTAAGGAAATGTCTTTAAGGTACACGATGAGAAAGGTGTCACGCTGTACTCTAGCATTGTAAATACTTCTCTAGGTTTAACGGACGTTACGAGTTTTTACGATTCACTTGAAAATTTTATTCCAAGCGGACCGGGCCCAGCCGACACCGTTATTTTAGCATTAGCATATGGAGAAGCTAGAGACACTCGAGTATCCATGAAGGATCCCGATGACCTTAACCAGGAATCCTGGTAGCCTCGCAACTGTCTACCTCGGAAAGGACTTTTGTCGTCATCATCTGGATGACCTGGATCGTACTGAATCTTTAAAGTATTCCAAGTGCTCCAGAGTATGATGTACCGTTTCTGTACTGCGAATCTAAAGTATTGCTGGCGATGAGGAATCTTTCAAGGATTTACAGGTTTTTTTTCCTTTTTCTTTTGTTATCGTCTCAGGGACAAAACTCCTTTCCGATTTGCGCCCACGCGAACCGCTGTTACTTCATATTGATTGGTGAAATATTTGAGGATGCTGCCTGGGGTACAAAGTGATATTCGTGGTTCTAGTCAAGTAAACATTGTTAACGATTATTACCGAGCTCGAACCTAAACGCTGAGAGACCCTGTAGCCTATAAATGTGCTCTAGTTGTTCAGCTGTTCCAGAACGCACGTTCTAATCTCGTATATGCCCAGGGCTCTATGAAATCAGCCTAGTATCACTTCTTCATTTATTCTTTTTATTACATTTCGTTATTTTCAAATCTAGTAGAACCTTCTCGAAACGAGGGTTTTCTCTACTTTTGAGGAATTCGTTGTACTAATATGCTTCCAACTGTATTCTATTCTGTTTGTCTTTATTCAAAGGAAATAGAGCCTTGGGTATTTTTGTTCTATATTATGAAGTTATTATCATTATTATCACCTTATCCCCTGTACCCTTCCAGTTTTATAATAAATACTATATTGTCTATCAAACAAGTATATCCATATCAATTTAGTAATTATTTATACTACAGTTACAATGGTGCGTGCGCCGCTATGGCGGATAAGCGACGTTAGGTTGGTCTGATTCTAGGATTGCTGACTGCTTAGCCGTGCACTGGGGCTGTGTCAGGATCCGTCTTTCTCGAGTCTGCTCTAATAATTCTCACGTGCGACATTCCATTTAAAAAGCATTGGCCTGTCATATGAGAGATTCATGAAAAGGGTTCGAGAATATGAACCCCAGGCCTTCCGCAATTTCCCTGTGTCCAAGGCAATACTGCTTTATTTAAATTACATCCGTCTATACTCGATGTTTTACCCAATGATGAATAAGCCGCCTGTAGATAGGCAACCCCAAATACATAGCTACGTGGTGACTTCTTGTTCATATGAGAACATATGATATTAAGGGTAGGTAAGGACCGTCGGGAAGTTAGCGCGGGAAAATCAAAATTTGTATGTTTATAATGCTTAAAAAATTGCTCCTTAAATGCTCCATATGTTTCTGTAATTGCTCCACTGCTACTATGCAGTGATTAATAAATATTCATTAAAACAGAAAATTTTTATTTTTATTGAAATTCCAAATAACCGAGCAGATTTTCATATGAGTTTCTTGATGAATTAATTGCTCCCGATTTGCTCCCAATTGCTCCACAATTAGTTTTTTATTAAATTAAAGCATCTTTAAATAATAAGTAAATTTTGATTTTCACTTATGTAGCTCGATTGCAAACTCAAACATTATGATTGGTTTGCGAACACACCTATGACAGCTGCGTTCTAAGATCAGCCGAGAGTGCGCGAACATCTTTGCCTCGGTCCATTTTCGATCACACTTGGTCAATTCAGGATTGTCCAATTCCTTTAGATCAGTATTAACTGTTAACTGAATTATCAGTATTAAGTTAACTGAAATTTAACAGGTTTAACACATTTTTCGGACTAATCGGATATTTGAAGTTATCATGTCTATTTTCTTCGACGCGGTTCAATGCATAAACTCGGCTTAACTATGCTATTAGCCAATCAGACACTTGTATTTTGAAAATAAACGTACTTTATACATTGAAGCGCGCAGGAGGTCGATTGTGTAACTCAAATGTAGTGAAAATACGAAAAATGAATGGCTGTTAGCCAATCGCGTGTTAGGTTCAAAAGAAGACAAGCACAGCGATTGGCTAACACCTATTCACTTTACGTATTTTCACTACATTTGAGTTACACAATCGATCCCCAGAAGATAACAGGCCGTAAATTACGTTTACACGGCGGTCTTGAACCGGTTTAGTTAATACTGATCTAAAGAAATTGACCAATCCTGAATTGACCAAGTGTGTTCGAAAATGAACCGAGACAACGATGTTCGCGCACTCTCGGCTGCTCTTAGAACGCAGCTGTCATAGGTGTGTTCTCAAACCAATCATAATGTTTGAGTTTGCAATCGAGCTAAGTGAAAATCAAATTTTACTTATTATTTAAAGATGCTGTAATTAAATAAAAAACTAATTGTGGAGCAATTAGGAGCAAATCGGGAGCAATTAATTCATCAAGAAACTCATATGAAAATCTGCTCGGTTATTTGGAATTTCAATAAAAACAAAAATTTTCTGTTTTAATGAATATTTATTAATCACTGCATAGTAGCAGTGGAGTAATTACGGAAACATATGGAGCATTTAAACAGCAATTTTTTAAGCATTATAAATATATAAATTTTGATTTTCCCGCGCTAACTTCCTGACGGTTAGGTAAGAGTGTCCTTTGCGGGATTAGCAAATAACTGAATTCATTAGGAAGACAAGTGCGTTGATTGCTTCACTTGATTATGAATGATTACATGAACAAAACTAACTAAGCACGTTTATACTCCTGCTGAATCAGTTTGATACTTCTGAAAAGGCACCCTGTGTTTGACACTCATTGCAGTGAGATGTTGACAGCATAAATAGTGGAGTTGAATCACGTGGTTGGAGAAACTATTGCTTTGAAATACAATGCCCATTTCAGCTTTGAATAACAGCACTATTAGTTTAATAACATCGTTTCAAATAATAACGTCCGTTTATAGTGTTGTTAAGGAGTTGGTAGAAAATTCTTTGGATGCTAATGCTAAGAGTGTAGAGGTTAATCTGGTACGTTATTCTGAAAGGGTTCATTACTAATTGTTGTTGTATTATTCTTTATTTTATTCAGTTGGATAATGGATTGTCTTCGATTGAGGTACGGGATGATGGAGATGGTATTTCTAAAAGCGATATACCACATATGGCATTGTCATCTTATACTTCCAAAATATCAGAATTTTGTGATTTAGGTAAATTGATTTAGATAATATTGTTGTAGTTTGTGTTAGGTCTGTTGAGCATTCAACATATTGACAAGTTTTTTTGATGGACAGAGTCATTGGAAACCTATGGATTTCGTGGAGAAGCTTTACATGCATTGTGTCATGTTGCTGATGTCAGTATTATTACAAAAACACATAGTGATGAAGCAGCAATGTCTTATACTATTAATCATGATGGGAATATTGTGAACACAGAATTGTCTCATCGATCTACTGGTGAGAAATTACTGTTACTTATTTCTCATAATAGCGAGAATATATATTCAATAGCATTTTTACCATTTCAGGAACAACTGTAAAAGTGAAGCAGTTATTTAAGAATTTCCCAGTAAGGAGGCAAGCTATATGTAGTACAAGGAAATCAAATCAGGATGTAAAGCTTGTGGAATTCTTATTAAAATGTTATGGCATTTGTCAACCTGGAGTCAGAATAAATTATAGGGTAAATAATAATACCATTTTTATGAAGCCTAGTCTCTCCAACTCAAAAGAGGCTTTACAACATATTCTTGGAAAAAAAGTTGTTTCAAATTTGGAATTGCTTGAGATAAAAAACCCTGAGGTAACTATTTGGTTGTTGATCGTAAAAAATTTCTTTTATGCTTTGACATATCTCAAAATATGTGTATCTTTTGCACATTCCAAAGGTAAAGATAGAATTAATGCTTCCAAAAAGTGATATCAACGATTTATCACAAATTTGTCAGATGGGTCAACAATATATTTTTGTGAATAACCGACCTGTCAAATACAAAGAATTGGAAAAGGTATATAATATACAATATTATTCTATACAACATCAAAGTGATATATATTTATTATATAATGATCACAGGTTATGGGCGACAAGATATCTGAGCACTTTGAGGATAAAATCCCACCAAAAAAAAAACCTATATTTTTTCTAAGTATCACTGTTCCTCCTTCTGAGTTAGATGTAAACCTTGAACCAAACAAAACTGCAGTCCTTTTGAAGAATCAGGTACATTTACATACACATTATTTATTTTCGTGATCTTGTTCAGAAGAATTTCAAATTTATTTAAAACAATTTACTTACAGAAAGATATTTTACAAAATCTAAGTGACATCATAATAAAGTACTATTGTCTACCACCATTCTTAGAAAATACAGAGGAAGGAAGTGTACATGATCAATCAACAGGCTATAGTGATTATACGCAAAGTACTAAGGAAAGAGAACAAGAAAAGGAATGGCCAGCATGTAAAAGACGTAGAATTGAACCGGACAAGACGATGGTTGTTGACAATTGTCCTGGAAAAGTCGGAGACGACAGTTCCAACCCAGAAATTCAAAGGACGAAGAGCAATAATAAAAATGTACAATGTAACAATGCGAAATCGGGTGACAATGTGACTAGATTGGCGGAGCTGAATTTGAGTGAACCGGATTCAAATGACGACGAGCATTTTAGAGCTTTTAAAATCAAATCCAATATATCTTTCGAACTAAAGGACTTACAAGTAGATTCAGAACCTTTTGAATTTCATCCAGATAAAAAAAAATTCTTAGACAATGGCAATGAAGATGAAACCCTGAGTCAATTACCAATAGTTGATTTGGGTGATGATTTTGATATTGAAGAGATTATAAATGAAACGACGTCAAACGATAGAGCAGATAATAATCAACCTTTGACCGACATTATAAATAAAATGGACAATGTACGTCCAGCACAAAAAGACATTTTCTTGGAAATGTGGAGCAAGGGTCAAGTACTTGGTATTACAGTGAGTCACTTTGTATTTGTCTCATAACAAAATTGACTTATCGAACGAATTAAAAATACATTTTTTGGAACTGTTTTCAATAGGGAGGAACCAATGTGAAGAATTACAACAATATATCCAGTAAGAGTCCATCGAGTAATTCGCAATCTCTGAATGATTCGATATCGGATAGCAGCTCTAGTAGAGGATTCATAAAGTTTTCCAGAGAGATCAGACCGCAAAGTTAGTTTTTGAAAAGAAAATATAAAATTTAAAGATTTGAATGAATAATTATGTCCCTCCTATTAATTTAAGTAATAAGAGAGAATCCTGAGATTACTCTATCAGACGTAGCTAAACTGTTAAGCAAACGCTGGAAAGAATTATCCCCAGAAGAGCGTGGCTATTACCGGGACTTAGCAGTTGACGAGAAGAAGCGTCAAGATGCTGAGAAAGCCGAGAAAAAGGAGAAGCACGATATAAAGGAGTCTGTAAAGAATAAGAAAAGACTGATGCAAATGTTTGAGAAAATGAAGACCTTGAAACCAGAAGCTAAGAAAGGAGACATGATGATCCGAACTGCTGTACCATGGGATATGAATATAAATAAAGTGTCCAAAAGTTTTTGTAATCAGTAAGTGTCTTTATTAAATCGTACTAGCCGTAACAACGGTTTTCTATTGAAATACTTTCTTTTTTCATTTAAGAAAAGAATACAAGAACAGTAGTTCCATTGTCGGACCTTTGAACTCAAATATATGGGCAGTCCGACTTGGTACACAAATTTGGGCACTGAATACATTAAAACTTAAACAAAATTTAAACCTATCTCCATCCGATAACCCAGAGGTATAGTTAATATAATTCATACTGCTATTTGTTACTATTAATACTAATCAATTCATTTTTCAGTTGAATGCAGAGCTCCTGGAGAAGCTGCTGAAGAGATGGCTCACTGAACGCGAGGATATGTCTATAATGCATCCAATTTATGAGTTCAAATAATATTAGAATTTAACCAAATAGTGTATTCTTCGTGACGGCCTTTATTTCAGGATGTCATTAATTATTAATTATAATTTAAGAACGAAAGATTTCGATAGACTATTTGATATTCAAAATTTAACTATCATCATTACAAGGTCACTTCGTTAAAGCAATGTGTCACATCTGGTAGTGGATGATACTTGCATTTTCGCTCCCAACCGTGCCAGGCATTAAATCCATGCCTAGGATAAATCATCTCTAGACAGCATTTACTATCATCAGTGATATCATCATCAATCAGATCTAGAAGTATGTGTAAATTAAATCCGGGATTATCAAGTTTAATAAGTATTTCTTACCTTCGCATTTCATATTGCAATCGCCACCGTTTACTCCTTCAGCGCACCAGTATTTACCATTAATCTGTAATTTAATTTATTTAGATACCTAAGGAATTCTCATATCCACTTAATTATTTAGGAAAGAATTATAAAGTTCAGTACTTGAAACAAGCCGTAATCGTAACTTCCATTGCTGTTTGGTCCTCCAATCGCTGATGTGTTCCTGGCACTTTCATTTTCCACTAAACAGACCCCTGGGCAAAGAATAATATAAATTGTTGAAAATTCAATTAAATTATATAAATATAATTAATTTTATATTATTAGGATATATAATATACTGTACAATCTTGAAGCTGATTAACGGGAAATCCTTGGCGTATTAGTTCTATGGCCAACTGGCAACGTGTCATTGTTTTGGCACTAATTTTAAAGATCAAGAAGGTAAAAACAAATGTAGCCACAAATGATTTATTCATCGTGAACTAAAAGTAAAAAAGTAACGAAAGGAGGAAACTGTTTAGAACAGATATATGTGCTGTGTCTCTCCCGCCTCTGATTAAACTAAGCTGGGAATGCCTAATCTTCGACTTTTATACTGGCAAGTGGATAAAAATATTTGAGATAGTCGTGAACACTGATCAACGCGACGTGCTTTATCGATTTACATAAATTAATAGGTCTCTGATAATTCCTATATAACCTTTGTAAAACTATTTCTTTTAATTTTGACATATTCAATGAAAAGTTTTTAGATTTAAACCTTGATAGAAGCTGCTGGTTATTTTCTCATGTAGGCCGGCGAACGGCTGCGTTGGTGTGAACATACACACTTAAATCTGTGGGCAAGAAACTGTAGGGGATTCACATAAATTTAATCAGTTATGTACTTATGTATATCTGTACAACGGTCAATATTATTTACTTTCAACAATGAAATTAGAGTAGAAGTTGAAAAACATTTACATTCCTAGTGAATTACCTAATTCATATGATAGATTATTATTAGTTTAAGTAAATGCCCATTTATATGTAGGGGAATGTTGGTGTCCTTGCCACAATTTATTAGCTAGAAATTTTGTGCTGATTTGTGGAGAAGAATTTGTAAATTGCTGAACACTATGATACGGGATAAATATATTGGTTCTATCTCGTTCCTTTTAGAATGTCTGTCTATTAAGGGAATTGTAATATAGAATTCCTAAATGTGGGAATTAAATCTGTATTTAATAGTGCAACCAATATGAAAGGTATAATCGATGCAACAATGAAACTTAGGTATTTAGATCATTAATGATCTTAGAAATAATTAGAAATTTATATATTTATGAAATGCATTGTTCAGATCATTTTATGTTTGTCCGAGCAATCGCTCGTGGCCTTTCATTTGGAATGTTGAAGATCACGGTCTTGTATACAAGTCTGGGCACTTAGGCGAAAAACGCGTAACGATAAGGTGGCCACTGCCGCAAGAGGCGTTAGTATTGAAAGAGCCTATCACGTGGTAGCACTACGCGTGCGCAGTTATCTCTTTCTTGAATACGTAACCTGCAGTTTTGCTCATTGTAATATATAATATACCGTGATTGCAACTGAAAAAAGCAACAATAACCAGAAAGTGCATCGTGCCTGCTTGAATCACAATGTTAGGAATTGGCATTTGAAAATTTCACAGGAGTTACAAATAAATTCAGTAAAAAAGTTACGACACAAGCAAAAATTGACTGTTTTAATTTCCATGACTTTTAGGTGAATTGGTCCATTTAACTTTAATTTTTTAAATCATCAGTTCTTTATTTGTCTAACTTATCAAAATTTTATTTAATTGGCATCGCATCGGTTTTTTGTGTGTAACTTTCCTTTTGCATCGGGTATAAGAGGTTGCAGTGAATTTACGGATGCGCACGCGCTGTTTTAGCAGACTTCTTCGACACTAGCACTTTCGGGCAAAACCGTCCACGTTACTGTTACGAGCTACAACGTGGTGAGGATAAGGAAGTGTTCAGGCCTGTATACAAGACCGTGTTGGAGACTATAGTAGTTAAGGCACCATTTGTCTTTAACGGCGTCTTTATCAAGCGAAAGTCTATCAAGGTGAATTAATTCTTATGAATATATTATTTTGCCATACGAAATGGTATTAATTAAAGAACATAATTTAGACAAGTGTCAACGATGTGCTTTCTTGAATGACAGAGTGCCATTCTTGGAGTATCATTGAGCAGCGTAGACTGTCCTTTAGCTTCCGCTGACGAATGCGTCATAATAACTGAGTGTCTTCGAATTTGTTTGAACTTTTATAAAAAAAAAGAATTTACACCGTCTCATATGAAGAATTATTTTTATAATGTTATAGATAACTATAAATGATTCTATTAACACTAGCAAAACTGAAAAGTACAAGTAATCTAGACACTAATCTGACTAAACGGGGCGGAGTCGATAAATAGAACGTGCAGTGAAGCATGCGTATTAAGGTGGCCCAAAAGGCGCAATCAAATTTTTCACATTATATAAAATCAATATTACTCACATCCGGTAAAGATTGACTTATAACCTAAATTAGTACGGTATTACGGATAAAAGTAAAGCAGACATTGACTTTGCGATATGTGATGCAAGGAGGCATTTAATTAAAAAGAATTTAGTGAACTGGTGTAATCAAGTGTGGCCCTAGGGCCTGTAATACGGTACGGCACTGTCGCATTTCCCGTGATTGGTTAAAGATCATAAGGTAGGGAAGAGTCGTATGGGAACGAGCAAGCTATCGCCGTCGCCATTTTGCTTGTCTAAAAGAAAGGAAGAGTCAGTTTCTCAATAACTCTGCTGTTGTAAAGTGCGTTTGATAGTGTTTCGTTTTGTAACGTATCCCTGGTGTTGTTAAGAACGCTTCGGTTTCCGAAGCATCATTCAAGTGCCACTAGACTTAAAAATAGTAGACTATACATATAGTAGAGTCCAAGCCGATTATACCAAGCGGCGGACCCTGTACATTTGTTATACTAACGACCTCATTTCTTTGTTTCTTTTATATATTTTTTTCGCTCCTCCTTCGATTCACCGTGCTTTAGTCAGCGTTGATGATTGGGATTCCGCGGGACGACCGACATAAGATCACGGTTATGATCCGCAATAACATGAAGAGAAGCTCGAGTCGGGATACGCCGCCTCCACGCGTCAAAAGAAGCAGGTCCTCCATGGGGCGGTACGTCATGCATCATACACATATTATTCCCTTTGATAAACGAAAATGGGATATCATACTACCAGGAGTTAATGGATTGCGTTGAATTGATTGTAAGACAGTACATTAAAGTGCGAGAGTTTGATTGTTAGTAGTGTATCAATTGTAAGTTGTGGGCGTTACTCCAGTGCGTCTTTATGTCAGTTGTCTGTTTTGTTGATGACGACTTTAGCACTGGTTAAACCTTTCTTGACCATATTTTTCTTTTGTTTCTATATACAATCGTGATTGATGATCGTTTATGGTGATTTAAGTTTGTGTACTGTGGTGCAAGGAGTGAGCATCAGCTACTTCTTCCAGTTACACTTGGTGATTTTCGTGATTTTGATCTGTAGATACAACGACTCGAGTGATGAGAGAATAACACCGGAGAGAATACGCCGTAGAAGCAGAGGTGCCAGAAGTCCAAGTCCTCCACCGAAAGCCTCATCGCATGCGAGATACGTCGAGTCCAGCTCCCACAGGGATGATTACCTGAGGGCACCACGTGAGCTTCCACCAGAACGACCGTACAGTTATAAAGTTCTATGCATCAGTTCGATTCATCCTAAAGCCAGTGATGAGGTTATCAAGGATACTCTCTATAGGGAATATAAAAAGTTTGGAGATTTTTCCATAAGGATTTCGCATGAATTGGATGAGCGTGTGGCCTACGTTTGCTTTAGAAGTTCTGAGGATGCAAGGGATGCAAAACATGCAAAACCAAGAATTATCATGTATGATAAAGTTGCTCTAGTCGAGCCTGTTTATGAGAGACCTGAAACATATAGACGACCTAGATCTATGACACCACCAGACTATGATCGTTATTATGCCCGGTCACCTGGTCCCACTGAAAGACATAGACCTCTCGAAAGATACGAGCGTGTTTATGGACCACCTGTCGGTCTTCCTCCACATAGAGAATTGAGAAGAGAAGCAATTCCACCTCCTCATGAATTTGTCAGACCACCAATGCACCATGGTCCACCTCATGTACATCCTGGACCTCCTCATCATTATGGGCCACCAAGACATATGATGATTCGCCATCCTGTTCACGGTTTTGAACGCGTTGAAAACAAGAAAGATAAATTTCCAAATTACTTGCATCACGTTTCACCTGAGGATGATCCTCTTGCTACAAGAACCTTATTCGCTGGTAATCTGGAGATCAACATCACTGAAGAGGAGCTCCGTAGAATATTCAGCAAATATGGCATTGTAGATGATATAGACATCAAGAGACCACCACCAGGAACAGGAAATGCCTATGCCTTCGTACGATTTCAGACCTTGGATATGGCTCATCGATGCAAAGTGGAACTATCTGGACAGTACATTGGCAAATTTCAATGCAAGATTGGTTATGGAAAGGCTACACCTACAACGCGTATCTGGGTGGGAGGTCTTGGGCCTTGGACATCCGTTCCCCAACTTGAGAGAGAATTCGATAGATTCGGTGCTATCAAGAAGATTGACTACATTAAAGGAGACAGCAACGCATACATCCTGTACGACTCTATTGATGCTGCCCAAGCTGCCGTTAAAGAAATGAGGGGTTTTCCTCTGGGAGGACCCGATCGTCGTTTACGAGTAGATTTCGCTGATGTGACACCAGGCTTTGGATTCAAACCAAGACCTTATCCTGAGGAAAGTGGCGAGTTTAGACCCAGACCAGTGGATTATGAGTCTCCATATGATCCATACACTCCAGAAGGTGAATTCGGATATGCTCCACGATCCTTCAGAGGTCGAGGAAGTGCATCTTGGCACGACAGAAGAGGTGGTGGACGCGGAGCTTATCGAGGAACTTACCCTGAAGGATACATGCGCGATGAAACGGAATGGCAAAGTAGAAGACCACCACCAGAAATGGAATATGAAACACCAAGAGGATTACGAAGATCCGTATCAAGGGAACCAGGAGTCGATCGTTCCAGGTCAAGATCCCCTCGTAGAAGACCTATGGACTCTGATTCTGATTCTGAAACAGCACGGACAGGAATGCTTTCCACGTCTAGGACACTTCCCGAAGTTGCTAGGAAATCCATAGCAGTATGGCAGGGCGCTCTTATCTTGAAGAATTCTCTCTTCCCAGCTAAATTCCATCTCACCGATGGGGATATCGAGATTATTGAAGCCTTGATGAAGGATGAAGAAGGCAAGCACATGCTCAGGATTACACAGAGACTACGTTTGGATCAACCTAAGCTCGACGACGTCTCTAAAAGAATTCAAACCTCCAGTTCACACGCGATTTTCTTAGGACTTGCAGGATCTAGTGCAGCCATCACCAATGATGATGCCAATGTGCAAACCAGACCCCTGCGTAACTTAGTTTCATACCTGAAACAAAAAGAAGCAGCCGGTGTGATATCACTTTTGAATAAGGATACCGAAGGCACTGGTGTACTGTATGCCTTCCCACCTTGTGCATTCTCTACAGAATTACTCAAGCGTACTTGTCCTAGCTTAAGCGAAGAAGGTCTCAAGGAGGATCATCTGGTGATAGTTGTGGTAAAAGGTGGCAGCGCATAGGAGTCTCATCAACGAGTAACGATCTTAGGACAACTAATTCAATGTTATGGCCGTTTACTTTTTACCATGAAAGTATGGACGAGCCACTTCGTTATCTTGACAGCAGTATGCGAGGATTATGCACCAGCAGATAATCTCCCTGATATCAACAATCATTTACCATCGCGAATTCTTAACAGTAATGAAACATAAATCAAGAATGCGCATACGTTCTTTTATAACTTTTGTGCTACGTTTTTTCTTGTAACTTCGAGAACGTGAATCTATTGAGAAAATTAGGTCTTGTTCGTTCAGGGAGGTTCGATCAGATAGTGACATTCTAATTTCAGTGGTAAGGAATGTTCTAAGTAGGCTCAGTATCAAGGACTCCTGAAAACAAGTTCTTCCTACAGTGGATGAGCACATGGGACAAAAAGAAACTGATAGACTAATTATATTTTACCAGAAAAAATATATAATCCAACTCCAGCTACTCGACAGATTAATCTAAATCATAATGAACATTCTTTTACGAAGCCCAAAACCTTTGTGCTTCATCGAGAGACCTAAACAATCAACCTGACACTCCTGATGTTGAGCTCTATTAGAAAGCATGTGCATATAAGCAGTATGACGAGTAACGATTTAAAAAAAGGAAGCGTATCTCGTCTCTATTAAGGATTAATCGCTATTGCTATCGCTAACGCTAAATTATCCCTACAATTATGCTAGCATAAAATAATTCGCATAGTCCCTAATTAACCTAAGTAATTCTTTGTATTTTTACGTAAGGCGCGTTGCTGCAGTGCCCATTTACTTCTTATACATATAACTGGCGTCTATTATCATTCTGACGGGAGGAAAGTCTCTCTTAGGTTTTTCAGACTTTATCTGATATATTTTCATCATCGCTCTTTCGATATCTCTTTATTGTTACACCATGTCTGGTTTCTTACATCCATTTCTAATGACTGTCACGCGGATATGTATAACAAGCGTAACCCTTTGTTCTTCGATGCGTAATTGTGTAGATAATATTAAAGAAATGCGCAGCAAGGTACCAAATATTGCTACTGCCATTTCACGTTACTTTTAACAATATGATGAATTCTTTTTATATATTTCTTTTCCACAATTTGTATCCTGAATTTCAGGACGTCTATTTCAACAATTGCTTTTACTGTTATTTTCGATCGTTTATAATCAATTGCATAGTATTCATACACTATTATGTACAGTTAAAAATTTATAGAAAGGAGAAAGATATAAGTACGTTTGAAACAGGGGAACGCGAAGTGGCACTAGTATGCCTTGATGCGTTGTGGCGATACTTTAATTAAGGATCTTGCTAACACGAAAAGGAATGAGAGGCAAGAAAAAGCAAAATCAGCAAACAAAGATGAACGGCAACTATCGACATTTTTTTTTTAAATCTATCTTAAATGTGTGTACTAGGGTACTTTTGACTATCTCTTCTTATGCTTTGTTTTGCTGGATTAACGTGTACCTTCGTGCTTTAGAGGAGAAGCGACAAATAAGAGTGGATGAAATAAGAGAGAATGGGAGATGAGGAAGAGATTGGAATGGAGAAAATGTGGAAGAATGACAACAATTTATCTATATTAATAGGTCTCGATAACGCCCAGAAGTGTCGTTCGGTGTTGTAAAAGAATTTAAAGGAAGAAAAATCACGGATTCTCGTATATCGTGAGTCTGATCTACATATGTAATCTAAATTTTTAAAAATGCACCGCGGCCGAGGAGTGATTCCCTGAATGAATTGAATGATAAGTTTGACAAAGTGAAAGCAAAAGACGAAATGAATCGTGTTTTTGTGGGGAGGAAGGGTGGAGAGAAAACAAAATTAGCAAAATATAAAAAACCCGTTCTTAGACCATAAAAGGAAGACGCACGAACGTTCTTTAAAGGGAAATTGAGTTATAAGTTTTCTCAGTGCGGACGTCAGATATCCATAAAGGACAGTGTTTGGTGAATCTTCGGTTAAACAGGAAAATAAAATCGATCGAGACAAAGCTGAAAAAGAGCTCTGAAAATGTGTACAGTGATGTAAAACAGTGGTTTTGTGTCCATCGCCTTCGAGAGTGCAGATTATTGTGTTGTGTGTTTATTCCTCTTGAACGGATTCAATCAAGGATATATATATATACACGCATTTATCTAAATTTATGCGTATATATATAATAAGATATTGTGTCCGTTTGAGAGAAGGAAAATAATTGAGAAAAAGCAAAAGATGCCAAATTAAAGAAATGTAGTTTGTGAGCGTACAGTGGCACGCTCGGAGGCGAAAAGACGACGGAGGTGCAGTGGTCAAAGTGTACCTGGTGTTTTTTCTCCTCGAACAACAAAATAGATGCCGTTTATGCAGACGAAATTAAAACGTGTCCATGTGTCTATTAATTTATGTCTTTAGTACCATTGATTGTCCACTGAAGTTTGCAATCTAAAATAAGGGCTCCGCAAGTGATGGTTCACCTGGATTCTCCAACTTGCACGTACATACTCGATGGAGGTTCTCGTCTACGACGAGAAACAATCACCCGGAGATGTCTGAGAAGCTGAGCATCATGCTTACTATCATCATATCATCTCCTTGGTGATGGAAGTTCTTTGAGACTAGGCATTTAAAGAAAAACACAGGAAATACTATGAAATTATGGAGATAATTAATATGAAGTCATCCTAACTAAATGCATGCCTGTGCTTGGAGTACCCTAATTCATTTAGGTGTTTTGCATCTTCAAGGAGTTCAGTAATGCCACGTTAATTAATACACAGTTTTGCTATACGCCTCTTCGCTGTTTCAGTTCTTGGTTTGTTTGAGGAACAAATTTTCAGTTTAACTATTGGTTCTTCTTCAAAGTCAGTGAAGTTTTTTTTGTGTATCAAGTACACATGGTGCTGTGCTCTGTTCATTGAAAAGCGTTATTGCTCTTCTAGCAAATAGTTCCTTCGATAATGTTATTGAGAGTTGTTCAGTTCACTGAAAAGATGTAGTGTGGTTTTAGTGAAGAAGCAATATGTAACTGTGTTTCCCAAGGAAGTTTTCAGTATAATGTAATGAAAAACAAGATTGAAAGAATCAGTATGGGTTATCTTGTGATATATACTAAGATGGTTCCTTAATCAAATTGTGCCTTGAGTCTCTTGCGCGAAATTATTTGAAAAGAGCACTTGCTTATGGAGTTTGACGTCAGTCGTTTGATCCGGGTTGTACAGTTTAGTGAAAGTGAGTTTGGTGATACTGTAGATGCAGAACAAATTTTGTTGGGTGTTTCTAGTGTGAGGTGATCTATTTACTAGTATTATACAATTATCGAGCTATGTTTATCCTGTCAGTTCTTCCTCAGGTGATAAGAACACTCGAGGATTATAGGTAAGAAACGCAGGAAAAGATCATTTTGTTTCAGAGAACAAACCATCCTGAAGCATGTGGAGAGCTGCCTGCCTGGAGGGGATGCTTCATGGAAAATCACAAGACTGATAAATTATTGTATAAAGAGAAACATTGAATAAATCAGGAAATATTCCATAAATATAGAGTTCATTTACCCTGCTCATGTACTCTACACTTTATACCGTAATATACGTTGCATAGTAATTTTTTTATAAGAATAAGTAGCATTGGAGCCAAGTTTCCAAAATCAATATATTTTATAAAAAGTGAGAGAAGTAAAACTTCCTTCCTTTCCTTATGGTTGTATCCCCAATGGGGGACATGTGCCAGTAGAGAAGTAAAACTTAGTATGATCCCAGGAGGCATAAGCGATGGTAATAGCAGAGATGAGTAGGGAGATTGCCAATGGCAGACAGAGATGAGTGGGGAGATGTACAACGCTCCGGTTTTAGGCGATACC